AGTGAGTAAGTGGATGTTTGGGTGACTGGGGTGTTCTGTCAGTGAGGAAACCGAAAGCGAAAAGGGGTCGGGGTGGAGATCGAAGGATTCAATAACAAAACAGGGGTAGATAAAAAAGAAAACCAAAGCTAGGATGCCAAGAGAGAGAAAAAAGCGAAAGAAAAAAAAAAAAGAAATAGATAAAGCTGGGTACTCACCAGACTTCCATGCGGCCTGAAATCGCGTGTAACAATACGAGGCCTGCAGGTGCTTATCGAGCACAAACAAATCATCGACCACGAGGTCTCGGCTAAAACCCTGCCAGAACAGCGGGTTGAGCCACCAAAAAAAGGACCGGCTATAGATGTTGCTGGTAGCTTCTGGCGGGTAAGCTTGAAACTCGGGACGCAGTGAGCGGCGTTTGTCCAGCGCCTCAAGTACGAGAATTACGGACTTGACCACGACCGCGGCCGTGGAGATGTACGCAATATTGTGGTTCACATGGTCTGCAGCGCGTAGCCACAGGGTCCTCGTGTGAGTGATGTCGAATAAGAGCGTGGCAAGCAGGTAGGTGCTGATGAGTGACGAGGGCTTGACGGCACGCGTGTGTTCGGCGTATGAGAGAAGACACAGCCCAAGGGTAGAAACCAGGGTGAGGGTGGCGGCAACTAGAGTGACCCGCGTACGGGCGGCAAGCGGGAGCGCCCAGAGGATCAATGCAGCAAGCTGCAGTGTAGCGAGAACCACCCAGGCGGACTGCACAGGAAGCGGAGACGATTTGTTAGAGGTTTCGATCCGGGGTTGCACAAGGGGCAAGCTGCATAGGGTCCAATCTTACAATCTTGATGGCTGGCGAGTGTTTGCCTGCCACTACTTTCTTCGCGCGTGCCGATAGATACCAGGCACGGGGAGGAAGCGCTATCAGCAAGACTCCGGCGGTCACCAACGTCAAGATGGTTTCCTCGAATAGGAGTGTGAAGTCGAAACCACCCCGACAGTCACCCGCGTGAGGGCCGAACGAGTCGTCGAGGCGCGTACACGCATCGAGAGACGAGTGGGCCATGAGTGCCAAATTTGGGGCATCAAACAGAATGCGCGTAACCGGGAGGCCCTACGTGCGCAGAAGAAAGGGGAGGATATTGGCTGAGGGGATGATGACTTTGGTGATCGACGAGAGAATGTTTCGAAGGGGCAAAGAACCAGGTCCTGGGTTATGGGTTACAAGGGCTACATATTGGTTTTCATCTGACATATTTTCAAAACCGCTTTTCCTTCTTCTCCTGCCGGGCCTGGACCCGCCGTTCATCCGGGGTTAGAAGGATGACAGGGAGGCGCACACCAACAGGGAGAGACAAAAAGTCAGCTCGGGGCTTGGTGAGGAATTAATCCCATGGCCCCGGACGAAATTTGGCCGGATGTGCCAAAGCCATACCGGCTGAAAAATTCCAAGCAAATGCAAGGGTGGGATGTTCCAGGGCCGGCTTCCTGCCCCCCCACAAAGGAGAGGTTATTACAGGACCAGTGTGGACGTGTGGCCTCCACACCAGCCTGACCGGAGTGTCCCGGGGTATTCTTTGACGGGAAGCCCTTTTCGCCCATAGACGGCTAACATCTGGATGAATAGGACTGCGGCTTTCGGACACGGTCTCTCCACCAGCCCGCAGCCCAGGGAAAATGAAAATAGAAAATCCTGTTTTTCTGGACCCCTTTCAGGTTTAATTCGCTGTTCTGTAACTTTTCAATGGTGGCTCGGTGCATTCGGCCGACGTGGTCTGTAGTGTTCCTTGCCAAGCCAACCTGCAAAGCCGCCCCATGTGGGGGGGCCCAAAAGGGAATAGTTCGAGGGAGAGAGGAAATGGAGTTGTGGAGGCCTGAGCTTGGGTGAACGAGAGAGAGAGAGGGGGGATTTGCGACACAGGTCGGCATTCTTGCTCAGCGTAACAATATGCGGTCAGTGGCGTTATTTGTACAGTGCTCCAGATAATTCCTCCGGTGGTACTGCGCCTTCAGCCGCCTCTGGGTAGCGTTAGCATACCCGTTTAGGGCACCAAGACGTTGCTCCGCCTGCACAATGCAACTGGCTGTTTACACAAACAGGGCGTCGGCGACCGGGAGTTACAGTTCTTATTTGATGACAGGAGCCAAGGATGAGACTTGGCCCCTGGACCATTGGCCGTCCATCTCCCGCCGCCCCAGTTGATCGACAGTGCCGCTCCCCACCGGCTCGATATCCGTTGCAGCTGGCTGAAGCGGCCCTTGCAAGGCAAACCTGCCACCCCTGCATGAAAAGACGGGGCCGGACAACGGGACAACGTGTTACTGTCATCTAGACTCCAAGTTTAATGCACGTGTTGGCCGACCTGCCCGATACTGCAAACTCACTGTCGATCCTCGCTTAAGTTTTGGTGACCTGAACGCGATTTAACCAGCTAGTTTATGTTCTGGGCCTCTTGGACCTCTTGGAAGCTTTCGATCCCGACGAACCGACCCATCGACGCCAGTCAGTCCCAAAAATAACTGGCCACAAGGTTCTGCAAGATGTTACCTCATATTACGACACCGGCCACCAGTCGTGATGGTTTAAGGAAATCTCTGACCTTACGGACCCTTTTTCGGAAGCGAAGGGCAAAAACCAGGAAGAAACGAAGAAACAAAGTTGACCCGAGGGTAGGGAGCCAAGCTGATCCTCGAGCTGGCGGGATAGCTGGTCCCCGAATCATGTATCCGGGTTCGCTTTTTCGCCATGATTCCCATCTGTCGACAGGAACAGGGTTGATTTCTGAGTGATCTACATGTACCCTGCGTAGCCGAGTCCTTGTTTCCATTTTTTTTCCCCAGCATTGTTGTCTCACTCCATGCCGCCCTTGGTGAACCCAAGCTGTTCCATCCCTGCCCATTAACGACTTTGTCCTCCACTGCACTGCCGATCTCACGCGGCAGAGCCAACTGCAGAAACCTCTTCTCATCTCCATTCTCGCCTCTGGCATCGCGTTAGACCTCGTCAGACAGCACCGGTCTCACCACCTGCCCGTATCACCTTGACCCCTGAGCCATCAACCGTCACCATGGCTTCTACCACCGGCATCAACGACTGGGAGACGTACCTCAAGGGGCTGACGCCATGTCGGTTTCCACGATTTGGTCGCGTCTCCGACGACATGCCAGCTCCATCCCGACAGACCTCGTCGGTCTGGGTGGATGTTGAGCAAGCAGAAAAGTTGCGGGAGCTATCCACCACGGACCCGGACGAGTTCGCTACCGTTATCCAAACAGCATGGGCGTTGTTGTTGCGGTGCTACACCGGCCAAGACGACGTCAACTTCGAATTCCAACGCGGCGGCGGAGGCGGTACCCGGGAACCCACCGTCGCCCGCTTTCTTCTGGACGACACCGAGGCCGTCCTCCGGACGGTGGAACACGCCAAGGCGGAGAACTTCGGCGATCTTCACCGGGTTCCACCCCGGCTCCTCCGAACCGGAAGCTCGGATCTGTCAATTTTTGACACGTCTGTGGTGTTGTGGAGCTTCACAGCCGGATCGACACCATGCCCTGTTTTGACACCGGTATGTAACCGTCCCGCAAGAATCCCCACATTATCATCCTGGCAGCGTTGTATCCCGACTTTGACCCCGGGAGACCGGAGCATTTACCCCTATTAGCCCTAACCCTTAGATTCCTGGCCCTTTGTTGATGTTGGTGGCTAACATGAATGCAAGGAACATCACAAGATTCGGCTGTTAGCAAAGCGCGGCCAGTCCAGCTTGAGCTTGTTTCTTGAATGGAGTAGCAGCCATCTCGGCATGTCTGCCGCACAGGGTGCACTGGTGGCTAGCACGTTGGACAAAATCCTGTCCGGCATTGTCACGAGTTCCCCTGAAACTCCCGTGAGTTCATTGGACTGCATGAGCCAAAATAACTTGGACCGTGTTCGCGAGTGGAACGACAGCTACTCGATCCAGCCGGTAGAGCGCTGTGTCCATGATGTGATTGCGGACAGGGTGCTGGAGCAACCTGAGGCTGAGGCTGTTTGTGCCTGGGACGGCTCACTCAGCTATCACGAGTTGGATGCTGCGACGAGTACTCTGGCCTCCTGGCTGGTAATGCTAGGAGTTGGGCCCGAGGTCCTCGTGCCACTTTGTTTTGAAAAATCGGTTCGTATTCAATAACTTCGCATTTGGTGATCGACCGACGATGGCTGACTCGACTTCAGAAATGGACGGTGGTAGCAATGCTCGCGGTGTTGAAGGCGGGCGGAGCTTTTGTTCCTCTAGACCCATCACATCCATTCGATAGACTCCGGGGTCTCTGCGACTCGGTTGGGGCCAAACTCGTGCTGTGTTCCAACCACCTCGTCCAGGGGCTTACCGGAGTGGCCGATAAAGTGCTGCCTTTGGATGATAGCACCATAACGAAGGCGGCCACGGCCAAATCCGCAGATGCTATTGCGAGCACAAACCGAGTTAGCAGCGCCAATGCGGCATATGTTATCTTTACATCCGGTTCCACTGGTAAACCGAAGGCAAGTCCACACCAGACCCTAGGAAACATGAGAAACGGGAACTTTCTAACCTCCTCCAACAGGGCACCGTGATCGAACACCAAGCCTTCTGCTCTAGTGCCAAGGCGCATGGCCCGGCCCTTCGCATTGATGGCACTTGTCGGGTCTTGCAGTTTGCAGCCCACACCTTCGACGCCAGCCTGGTCGAAATCCTCACGCCGCTGATGGTGGGAGCCACTGTCTGCATCCCTGACGAGCATGAGCGGCTCAACGACCTTGCTGGTGCCATGAACCGCATGCGCGTTGATCACGCCGTGCTTACTCCCTCCTTCATCAACTTTCTCACTCCATCCACAGTTCCCAGGTTGCGCAGGCTTGTCCTGGCTGGTGAGGCCATGTCACGCTCTCACGTCACCACCTGGTCGCACATTGAGCTCGTCAACGGCTACGGGCCGGCTGAGAGCTCTGTCGCAGCTGTGGTCAACCCCAATGTCGGACCCCAAACCGAGGCCACCGACATCGGCTTACCTTGTGGAGTGCGAGTTTGGCTGGTCGATCCCACCGATTATGATCGCCTGGTCCCCGTTGGTTGTGTGGGCGAGATGCTCCTCGAGGGCCCAAGCTTGGCAAGGGGTTACTTGAATGACGCCGCTAAAACAGAGGAGAGCTTCATCTTCAGCCCGGCATGGGCTCAGGATGCGGACAATGCGCCTCGTCGCTTCTACAAAACGGGAGACTTGGCCCGCTACAACTCGGCCTCTGGCTCTTTCAACTACATCGGGAGAAAGGACACCCAGATCAAGCTTCACGGCCAGCGTATTGAGCTCGGCGAAATTGAGCACCACCTTGCCGTCGATGAGGACGTACAACACGCCATGGTCCTCCTTCCCAAGAAGGGGGCATTGGAAAAGCGCCTGATTACCATCCTCTCACTGTCGGGGCTCACGGTTGCTTCCGCCGACAACCAACAGCCGGGAGCTACTGCCTTGAGTTTGACCGGGAACCCGGCGGCGACCGAACCTATTCTGGAACGTATCCGCACACGCCTCAGCGCCCGACTTCCTGCATACATGGTCCCGTCTACTTGGCTGTGCGTCGATGCCATTCCCATGCTGGCTTCTCGCAAGATGGACCGCAAAACCGTTGCCACCTGGATCGAAACCACGCTTACCGCCGAACAATGTCAGGAGGTGATCAGGGAGCAGCATGCCGCGAAGACCAAAACCACGTCTGGCGGTGCCAAAGCCAACAGCACCCCACTGACCGAGGTTGAGGGCAAGCTCCGTGACATCTGGAGCCTGGTCCTTAACTTCCCAGCCGACGACATCGACCCCGATGACCGTAGCTTCCTCAGCTTGGGCGGCGATTCTATTTCGGCTATGGCCTGCGCGAGCCACGCCAAGAAGGCACGGCTCGGCGTATCGGTGCAAGATGTTCTCAAGGCCAAATCCTTGAGGCAGCTAGCTGCCGTAGCCAAAATGTTGAGCCAACCAAACGAGAGCCAAGTTGACGGGGAAGATGAAATCGAAAAGGGGGTGCTCAAAGTGCCCTTCGATCTCACGCCGATCCAGCAGCTACACTTCGAAGTTCGAGGCGGGGCTCACGGCGATGGGCACTTCAACCAGAGCTTCTGTCTGCGTCTCGCCCGCCGTGTGGGGGTGACTGCTGTCCAAAATGCAATCCAGTCTGTGGTCAAGCGCCACGCCATGCTCCGGGCTCGCTTCGAACGGAGTGAGGACGGAGAGTGGAAGCAGTTCATCACGCCGGATGTGGATGGGTCGTATCGTCTCCGGACTCATACCATAGCCACCCGCGTTGAAGCTGACGCCGGCATCGCGAGCGCGCAGGGCTGCCTAGATGCGCGTTCTGGTCCTTTGTTTGCCGCAGAGCTATTTGATGTGCAAGACAAGGGCGACCAAATGCTCTTCATGACAGCTCACCACCTCGTCATCGACCTGGTTTCATGGCGTGTAGTCATGGAAGAGATCGAGGAGCTCCTTGAGAACCCCTCAGCGGCGGCTGTTTATCGATCACTACCGTTCCGACAGTGGGCAGCACTGCAGACCGACGACTGCACAGGGAGAACTCTTAAGCAGGTCCTCCCGTTTGCCGACCAAGTCCCAGATCCCCAGTTTGCTTATTGGGGAATGGGGAACCGGGACAACTTGTATGGCGATGTGGCATGCCAGGGATTTGACCTCGACGTCGCCACTACCGACATTCTCGTCAACGACTGCAATTCTCCTTTCCGCACTGAGACCGTTGACTTACTCCTGGCATCGCTCATTTGGTCCTTCCAAGCCACATTTTCCGACCGCGCACCACCAGCCATCTTCAATGAGGGCCATGGTCGCGAACCCCCCAACGAAGAAATCGACATTGCCCGCACCGTTGGCTGGTTCACGACACTGTTCCCCGTCGCACTCGCTTCACCCGCCACATTCACCGAGGCGCTCATCCAAACCAAGGACCTCCGCCGGCGTGTACCGGGCAACGGACGACACTACTTCGCCGCCAGATTCCACACTCCCGAGGGCCGAGAACAATGGGCTCGCCGGCACAAGGACATGGAAGTGTCGTTCAACTTCCTCGGCCGCTACCAGCAGCTCGAGCGCAAAAGTGCCCTGTTCCAGCCCGCCGAGGGTGCCCTCATGGCTGGTGAGGCACATCCCGGCAGCCCAACGGCCGACTTTGGAAGCAAGGCACCGCGGTTTTCTCTGTTTGAGATTTCTGCCGTCATTATCCAAGGTGCGTTGCGGTTCGGGTTTGCCTGGAATGGTAACATGCAGCACCAGGACCGGATTTGCGAGTGGGTTGCCAACTGCCGAGGGGTGTTGGCGAATGCTGCTGCGACGCTGCCATCTATGGGGACCAGGATCACAGCCAGTGACCTCACATTGCTTCCTGACCTCACACCCACGGATTTGAAAGCGTTTGAGGACACCACACTGCCGGCTCTTGCCAAGGAACGGGGTTGGGATGCAATCGAGGAGATTTATCCCGCCTCGCCCATCCAACAGGGGCTGTTGCTGAGTCGAACCAAAGACGGGAATTTCTATGCCGTGCGTAGAACCTTCCAAGTCAAGCTTAACGGCGAAGGCAACAAGACCGTGGATGTTCAGCGTGTGGTGCAGGCTTGGAAGGACGTTGTCCGTCACCATGCACTCCTCCGCACCATCTTCGTCGACGCTATCAGCCAAACTCGGGCTGGTAGCTACGACCAGGTGGTCTTGAAAGACGTTGAACCCCCAATGGTCGTACGTAAATGTCCGGATGGCGCCGACATGTCCAGCCTCGTCGACAACCTAGAGCTAGTGGAATACCGAAACGACGCACCACAACACCGATTCTCCGTCTCCCACAACCGCGAGGGCGTCGTTTGCACCCTGGAGATGAGCCACGCCATCATGGACGGCGCTTCCATGGATATCCTCCTGCGCGACCTCGGCCGCGCTTACCAAGGGGGTCTCCAGCATGTCGAAAAGCCGCGGTTCAGCCCCTTCGTCGCCAGCCTGCAGCAGCGCAACCTCGAGGCAGATGTGGCATTCTGGAAAACCCATCTTTCCGGTTTAGAGGCATGCCACTTCCCCACCCTCAACGACGGCATCAATATTCCCGAGACGGAGAGAAAAATGTGTACTCTCCGTGTCGACGTCCCTGGCTTGGCCGCGCTGCAGACATTCTGTAGCGGGGCGGGGTTCACCCTGCCCAACGCCTTCCATGCTGCTTGGGCTTTGACACTGGCGTTGTACACTGGCACCGATGATGTATGCTTCGGCTATCTTGTCTCAGGGCGCGATGCCGCGCTTGAGGGCTCAGAGGATGCTGTCGGCCCCTTCATCAACATGGCCACCCAACGCATCAAGTTCGCTGGTGAAGGAGATGACCAGTTCTCTCTTCTTCGCCTGCTTGAGGCGGTGCAGAAGGACCAGCTTGATAGTATGCCGTATGCCCAAACTTCGCTAGCTGAAGTGCAGCATGCTCTCAACGTGCCGGGTGGGATGGCTCTGTTCAACACGTGTATCTCGTACCGTCGTCGCCAACCGAAGACGGATACGGCAGAGAGTTCGCTTGTCTGTGAAGACCTGGGAGCTCTTCACGACCCGACGGAATACCCCATTTCACTCAACGTTGAGATCGACGACGAGGGAGGCGCCGTCATTGACCTCGATTACTGGGCGGATGAGGTGGCCCCGGCCCAAGCACAGCATGTTGCCGCGGCCTTTTTGCAAGCCTTGCGCAACATTGCTGAGAATCCCGAAACACCCCTCTCGCAGCTAGATAACGTCCACAGCACCAGCAAGGAGCACGTCTGGGCCTGGAACGCCAAGATGCCGGCCACCACCGCCGACTGCGTACACCGCATGGTGGAGAAGCAGGTGGCTCTCCGTCCCCAGTCCCAAGCTATCCGTGGTTGGGACGGCGACTTCACGTACGAGGAGATGAACAACCTGGCCAATCGCCTGGCACGTTACCTTGTCGACTTTGGAGTCGGCCCCGAGACATTGGTACCTGTGTGCTTCGACAAGTCTGCCTGGACAACCATCTCCATGCTTGCCGTCATGAAGGCAGGTGGTGGAGTGGTACCTCTTGATGCCACTCACCCTGCGTCAGCACTGGAAGGCAAGGTGGTTGATGCCGGCGCCCAGGTCGTGGTTGCATCAGAGTCCAGGGCCATGATGTTCGAGGCTATGGTGCCATACGTGGTGGCCGTCGGTCCCACCCTGTTGTCTCAACTCCCTGCCTCAGCCGACAACGGAGATATCCAGTCGGGAGTCACACCCGAAAACCCCGCCTTCATCATGTTTACTTCCGGCAGCACCGGCAAGCCCAAGGGCGTTGTTCTTTGCCACGACGCCCTCGTTTCGAGCTGTCTGGCGCACGGTTCCGCTCTTGATCTCGGTCCCCATACCCGCTTTCTCCAGTTCGCCGCACACACTTTCGACAACAGCATCGAGGAGATGTTCACAAATCTTATCCACGGCGGCTGTGTGTGTGTACCGTCGGACGTGGACCGCCTTGGTGATCTACCTGGAGCTATCGACAGACTTGACGCCAACTTCATGGACCTCACCCCGACGGTGGCGGCAATGCTGCGGCCTGAGCAGGTGCCCAAGATTAAGGGCATGGCTGTTGGCGGTGAGGCCCTGACCCGCGAGGTGCTCGATATCTGGGGCGGCGTCATTCCTGTGCACAACCAGTACGGACCGAGCGAATGTTGCATCAATTCGGCACACAAGCTCCATCTCGACAAGAACGGCGACGTTGGCAGCATCGGAACCAATGTTGGTAGTGTCTCGTGGGTGGTTGATCCCAAGAACCACGATCGCCTCGTGCCCGTTGGGTGCGTGGGCGAGCTTCTGATCGAGGGTCCCATCCTTGGCCGAGGCTACCTCAATAAGCCCGTCGAGACGGCCAGAGCCTTTATCGAGATGCCAAAGTGGGCGCCCGAAGACCCTCACCACCAAGAGAGGGGCAAACGGAGGATGTACAAGACAGGCGATCTGGTGCGGTACAATTCCGACGGCGCGCTCATCTATCTCGGGCGCAAGGACACCCAGGTCAAACTCCACGGTCAGCGGATTGAGCTGGGTGAGATCGAGCATCACGTCAAGCGCAACCTGCCGTCTGCTGCACAGTCCTCGGTTGAGCTCGTAGTTCCTGCGCAGTCCAAGAAAGCGTTGGCGGTTTTCGTCTGTCTCTCGTCTTCCCAGACCGATGAGGAGGTCCGAATCCTCCCCATGGACGCAGCATTTCAGTCGCTAGCTCAGGGCATCGTGGGGGCTATGAGCAGTCAGGTCGCTTCCTACATGGTGCCCCGATTGTTCTTCCCTGTCTCCCGGATGCCACTCACCTCATCGGGCAAACTTGACCGGCGGTCATTGCGGACCATGGCGCAGGCATTGCCCAATACTGTCGACTATCGCCTGGGGACCGAGACCTCCGGTGGACGTGCGCCAGAGACGCCAATCGAGATGGACCTCCAGGAACTGTGGGCAGCGGTGCTCAATGTGGCTGCCAGCTCCATCACCGCGGACGACAGCTTCTTTACCCACGGCGGGGACTCGGTTGGTGCTATGCGCCTCGCTGCTGCAGCTCGCCAAAGGAACATTGTCCTCACCGTGGCTAATATTTTCAGCGCGCCCAAGCTCGCTGATATGGCAAAGACTGCGACAGGAAGTGGCGTCGACGCCGGTACTAACACAGGAGATAACCGTGACAGCACCAGCCCCAAGGATGAACCTCTCCCTGGCCCGGTGGAACAATACTCGTTACTCAAGGACAACGGCTCCATGACAGCGCAGGAGTTGCGGGACCATGTGGCCTCCATTTGCCGCATTGATGTCGACTCTGTTGAGGACATCTACCCCTGCACCCCCCTGCAAGCAGGCCTGGTTGCTGCATCCCAAAGGCAGCCCGGCGCGTATGTGGCTGTCAACTTCTACGAGCTGCCTTCCGGGGTGGATATCACGCGGTTCAAGCGGGCGTGGCAAGAGGTTGTCAACTCGGAGGCCATCTTGCGAACGCGGGTCGTATTTGTTGAGAACATCGGCTTCTTGCAAGTTGTTGTCCGGGGTGAAATAAACTGGACCTCGGCCTCAAGCTCCAGCAACATCCCGGAGAGCCATCGTCATTTACCGCCTCACGATGGCGGTATCCTTTCTCGATACACCATCATCAACGAGCACAGCCTCCGCCCAACGTTTGGTTGGACTGCGCACCACGCGGTCTACGACGGCTGGAGCTTGCCATTGCTCCTGAGCCGCGTCGAGGAGCGGTATCAGCACCCAGAGGCGGCTTTGACCCCAACACCACATTATTCTCGCTTCGTGGAGCACCTGTCCGCTCACGATGCTTCCGCTTCAGACGCCTTCTGGACTGAGAAGCTCGCCGCCCCCAACATCACCCACTTCCCGCAGCTCCCTCATCCGGCCTACCGCGTCCAAGCCACCAGCCAAGTCACCCGGCCAGTGCGCTTCACCAAACCCAAGGGAGTCAACCTAACAATGTCATCCTTCCTCCGCGCGGCATGGTCCCTCGTCGTATCCATCTACGCCTCCTCCTCCGACATCGTTTTCGGCGAGATCCTCAACGGCCGTGACGTCCCTGTCGCTGGGATCGAAGACCTCGTCGGACCCACGCTAGCCTCTGTCCCGCGGCGCGTCCGCATCGACCAGGACCTGACCATCCGGCAACTCCTCGTCGACGTCCAAAACCAACTCAACGACGTCACCCCGCACCAGTTCGCTGGCCTGCAGCGCATCAAGAGCCTCAGCGTGGCCACCTCGGCCGCGTGCGACTTCAAGAACCTGCTGGCTATCGACATGGCCGACGAGGTCGCCGAGACCAGCAGCCTGTGGGGCAACCTGACGGGCGGCGGCACGGCGCAAGGGGCAGATTTCTTCAGTCTGCCGCTGAATGTTACGTGTACGCTAGGCCGCGGCGGCAGTGGCGGGGTCGAGGAGATTGAGATGCGTGCTATCTTTGATGCTGAGGTCGTTCCGAGGTGGCAGGTCATCCGCATGTTGGGGCAGTTTGAGGCGGTATTGGAGAGGTTGTCCGCTCCCGAGAGCCAGGGGGTGAAGGTCGGGGATGTGGATCTGCTCAGCCTGGAGGATAAGGCTGTGATTCAGGAATGGAATAAGACACCTGGCCCGCTGGTGGAGCGGCGGGTTCATGATATGATCTCGGAGGAGATGGTTCGTCGGGGTGGTTCCGAGACGGCGGTGGTCGGCTGGGACGCGACCTTGACGAACGGCGAGCTGGATGCGCTCTCGACGGCACTGGCAGGTGAGCTTTTGGTGAGGGGTGTTGGTGCTAACGGAAGCAGGTTTGTGCCGTTCTGCTTTGAGAAGTCGACGTTCGCCATCGTGGCAATGCTTGCTGTGCTCAAGGCCGGCGCTGCGTTTGTTCCTCTCGATCCGGCACACCCGGTCGGTCGGCTCAGGGATATTGTTGGCGACTGCGGGGCTGACGTGGTTCTGTGCTCGCCGAAATACGAGAGCCTGTGTGCCGATGTCGTTCCGACGGCCATTCCCATCGATATGGAGATGCTGAAGAAACTCGAGAAAAAGTCGACATCAATTGTGGCCATGGAAGGTGAGTCCATTTTTGGATTTTTGGTTGTTTACTTAGCCCCTGAAACCCCGGTTCCTGTTTTCTACCCCCTGAAATCCCTGAGATGGGGGAAGTCGAGAACAGGATGGATGCTAATGGAGAGCAGTCTGCCAACCGAGCGACGCGGCATATGTCATTTTTACCTCTGGGACGACAGGAAAGCCAAAAGGAACAATCGGTACGTTTTTCTTTTCTCCTTGTCTCTTTTCCGATACTTTCCAATAATACCTGGCGGCTTGTTTGCTTCCTTGGCGTTTGTTCGTTGAGGATTAACCCCACCCCACCCACCTCCATCATCACAACCATCATCACAATCCCAGGAGTATTCATCGCTTCATCCGCCTGGATCTGGTTTAGTCAAGCCCCAACTTGTTCCTTGCCCTCATACCCCTTTTTTTGGTTTGAGTCGGCGAGAGTTGCAAGATGGGCAAACCAGTGCATCGAGTCGCTTGGCGCGTGTTCAGCGCGTTTGCGTCACTGCTAGCACATGGAGTTGGTGTCGGATCCAACAACTCGTTCATAATCACTGCCCTGTGTTCTCCATGACAGAAACCTTCTACTCCTCTGGACCGATGTTGCGTCGTAATAGTCGCATAGTCCCCGCTAACCGACATGCTCAGTCTCTCACACGGCCTTCTGCTCCGGTGCTGCCGCCCATGGCCCCGCGATGCTCATGATACCCCCTTTCCGATTCCTGCAGTTCGCATCCTACACATTCGACGCCTCCTTGGTTGAGATTTTGACAACCCTCATTTTTGGCGGCACCGTGTGCGTTCCTCGGGAAGAGGACCGCACCAACGGCAATATCACTACCGTCATGGAGGAGATGGGAGTCACCATGACCCTACTCACGCCCTCGTTTGCCCGCGTCCTCGAGCCTTCAAGCGTGCCGCACCTCAAGACCCTGATCCTCGGAGGAGAGGCTATGGCCCAGACCCATCTCGCCACTTGGGCCGACAAAGTGAGCTTGGTTAACGCCTACGGCCCGAGCGAGTGCGCTGTTGTTGCAACAGTCAACTCCCACATGCGTCCCTCGTCAAACCCGGCGAACCTAGGAAGATGCCTTGGCCGCTGCTGGATCGTTGACCCTCAGAACCACAACCGACTCGCGCCTCTTGGCTCCATCGGCGAGCTACTTGTTGAAGGTCCCACCTTGTCGGCCGGCTATCTTAAGAACGAGTTGAAGACCCGAGAGGTCTTCATTGAAAATCCTCGTTGGGCCGCGGACACAACCCTGCGCTATCCGGACATGCCGTCAGCCACACCGCGTCGCATGTACAAGACTGGGGATCTCGTCCGCGTGTGTGACGATGCCTCAGGCGAGATGGTCTACATGGGCCGGAAAGACGCCTCGCAAGCCAAACTCAACGGTCAACGCCTGGAACTTGACGAGATCGTTCACCACCTCGCTGCTGATGATGCCGTCCGCCACGCTGTTGTTGTACTTCCCAAGAGCGGGCCTTGCGTCAAGCGTCTCGTGGCTGTTCTCTCGCTCCGGGCAATCACTGCTGGTGGTCCCGGCAAGTTTGAGTTGGTGACTTCAGACGAGGCATCTTCTACTCTGGAGCAAGTGCAGGACCGCCTGAGAGAGAAGGTTCCCGCCTACATGGTTCCCTCAACCTGGATCGCCCTTCACAACATTCCCCTGCTGCCATCCGGGAAACTTGACCGCAACAGTGTAGCCCGTTTTGTGGAAGGCATTACCGAAGAGGTACTTGACAAGGCCAACGGCGCCCGCTCCCCTGGTCCGGCACAAGCGACCGAAAGCACCTCCCCACAACAGTCTCTCCCCATCGACGAGAGACTGAAGTCTATCTGGAGCCAGGTCCTCAACATTTCATTGGAAAGAATCGGCCGAAATGTCTCGTTCCTTCACCTCGGAGGCGACAGCATCACCGCCATGCAGGTTATGGCAAAATGTCGAGCGCAGGGTATCCGCATCGCTGTCGCGGATATCATCAGCAGCAAATCCGTTCACGACCTTGCTCTCAAGGCCCGCGTTCCCAGCACCCAGCAGCAAATTGCCGCCACCGCGATTGCTGGTGAGGATCAGCACGAGTTTGAGCCATCGCCCATCCAGCAGTTGTACTTTCAGCTCATATACGTGAGCGACAACAAGGAATCCTCTGTCAAGTCCCACGCCCAGTTCAACCAAAGTGTATTGCTGCGGCTGGACAAAAACGCGAGCTCCGACCAGCTGGCACGCGGTATCCATGCCTTGGTTGAGACACACTCCATGCTCCGGACACGCTTCCGCCGCGACGGCACGGGTAGCTGGCGCCAACGCATCACCTCGGACATCAGTGGATCGTACCGTTTTAAAACGCACGTTATTGGAAACGCGAGCCGCATGGAGAAACGCATCCAGAATTCTCAACAGGCACTCAACTTCCAGCAGGGCCCGCTCTTGGCAGCGGACTGGTTCAGCGTTGGAAAAACCAACAGCGAGGTCTACGTCTTCATCACCATCCATCACTTGGCGGTTGATGTTGTCTCCTGGGGCATCCTGCTCCAAGACTTGGAGGACTTCCTCGCCAATGGCAACATAAAACCTCCGACATCCCTGTCCTTCCAGACCTGGATTCGGAAACAATCCGAGAACGCTCAGGCAGAGAAGAACGGGTCGGCCCTGCTCCCACACCAGGAGGCCTCGGACGCGGACCTGGAATACTGGGGGATAGCCGGGATGACAAATGTCCACGGCGATGCGATTTACGCAACTGGCATTGAACTCGACAATGAAACAACAGCCCTGCTTCTAGGCCCGCAATGCCACGCCGCACTTCAAACCGAGGTACTCGACATTCTCCTCGCTGCCCTACTCCTGTCCTACCGCAACGCATCGGGAGGTCGTCGCGGAGTGCCCACCATCTACAACGAAGGCCACGGTCGTGAGGTCTGGGACGATGCCATGGACCTATCCCGCACCGTGGGGTGGTTCACCACGCTGTATCCAGTTCATCTCCCGGACGAATCGTCTTCTGGTAAGCCACTTTCCACGCCCACCAAAGGTTGTTTCTTTCACTAACCAAAATCCACTAGATGATGAAATTGTCAGCGCCATCCGATGGGTCAAGGATTACCGAAAGCGCCTGACCGGAAAAGGACGCCCCTACTTTGCCTACCGTCTTCTCACATCCGAAGGACATGAGAAGTATGACGGTGGTTGGCCAGTCGAGGTTGCCTTCAACTACCTCGGTCAGATGCAACAGCTCAGCCGGGCCGACACCTTTCTCCAATCCGTTGATAACGGCCAAGGTATCAACACATCATCCGACGTCGGTAAGGACGTGCCCCGCTTGGCGCTGGTCGAAGTCTCGGCTGTTGTTGTTGGCGGGAGGATGACACTGTCCTTTGCCTACAACAAGCACATGAAGCACCAGGACTCACTTGGCAGATGGGTCAAGGAATGCCAGTCTCTTCTGCAGGACGTTCCCCGGAGGTTGATGCAGCACACGCCTGAGAAGACTCTCAGCGCGTTCCCGCTACTCCCTCTTGCATATTACGGCCTGGAGAATCTCGACCAGAGACTCCAGGAACTTGGCGTCAAGCTGCAAGATATTGAAGATGTCTATCCCTGCTCTCCCATGCAGCGTGGCCTGCTTCTCAGCCAAATCAAAGACCCGGAAAAGTATGGCTACAAGGCCACCTTCCAGGTTGAGTCTCCCAAAGCAGGGAAGGTCGACCCGGAGCAGTTGTGTAACGCATGGCAATCCGTGGTCCGTCGTCATGCGACCTTGAGGACCATCTTTGTCGACAGCGTGGGTGGCGAAGGTCTGATGGACCAGGTGGTCCTCCGCGACGCCCCAGGCCGAGTCCTGATACTCAAGTGTGAGACGGATGATGATGCCGTGCACACGCTGCAGACGATGAGCTGCATTAACTACAACGAAAAGAAGCCACCACACCGTCTCTCGATCTGCGAAGCCAACACCGGACATGTCTTTTGCCGTCTCGATATCAGCCACGCCATCTCGGATGGCTCTTCAATGCCGATCATCCTCGACGACTTGACCTCCGCCTACGGTCAGGACATGAGCAGCAAACCTGTGCCGCTGTACCGCGATTACATTGCCTACACCCAGTCGCAGCCCCGGAGCGAGAGCATTCGATACTGGAAAGATTACTTGAGCGGTGCCGAGCCTTGTCTGTTCCCCGTGCTCTGCGATGGAGAGCCAGAAACGGAGTCATCGCTTGGTGCACATGCCATTACTCTCAACGGTATTGCCGCGATCAACGACTACTGCATGAACTCCGGCATCACCTTGTCCACCCTACTCCAGTTCGTGTGGGCGCTGGTTATCCGGTCGTACACGGGCTCTGACGAGGTTCTGTTCGGCTACCTCGCCTCAGGTCGGGACGTTCCCGTTGCCAACATCGAGCACGCCGTGGGCGCCTTCATCAACATGCTCGTCTGCCGGCTCCAAATCCCGGCCAACCTCGAGGTTGGCGAAGCACTTGACACGATGCAGACGGACCTTGCAGATGCCATGGCCCACCAAAGCTGCTCCCTGGCCGAGATGCAACACGAGATGAAGACTTCGGGCGCGATGCTGTTCAACACCGGTTTCACATACCAGAAGCGCGCCGAAATTGACCAAGGTCAAGCACAGCAATCCTCGCCGTCCGCGCTGCGATATCGTGTCCTAGATGCCGAGGATCCGAGCGAGTACGGGGTCGCGGTTAACGTCGAAGCGACCAACAAGACTGTCGAAGTCCACTTCAGCTACTGGAAGAACGTCGTTTCAGACGCACAAATTAAGAACGTTGCAGCCACCTTTGAGCAGGCTTTGCAGGACCTGGTCGCTGATGGAGCGGAGGACCGTACCGTCGGAGAATTGGACCTCGTGGGCCACGCTGGGATTGAACAAATCATCGCCTGGAACGACTACGAACTGCCCCGCGTCGAGCAGTGCGCGCACAATATCATTGAGCAGCACGCTCTTCTCCGTCCGGCCTCAACTCCCGCAGTGTGCGGCTGGGACGCGTCGTTTACCTACCGTGAACTGGATGAATCGGCTACCATTCTGGCCCGCCACTTGGTGGCCCAGGGTGGTGTTGGGCCTGAAGTATTCGTTCCATTATGCTTCGAGAAGTCGGCCTGGACTATTGTCGCACAGCTTGCTGTTCTGAAGGCCGGTGGTGCCTTTGTGAACCTCGACCCCAGCCATCCCAGCAGCCGGCTTGAAAGTCTCATCCAAGATGTCGGCGCCAATATCGTGCTCTGCGCGCCGAAACACAAAGCAAAGATGGATGAGATTGCAACTAACGTGTTTGTCCTCGACGCTGAATCCATTCGGACGCTCAGCGAGGCGGCGCCTTCAAACGTCGCGCCCTTCGCCTCGACTGCAAAGCCATCTAACCCAGCCTACATCATCTTTACTTCCGGAACAACAGGCAAGCCCAAGGGTACTGTCATCGAACATGGCGCCTTCTGTACCGGCGCAACCGCGCACGCCAAAGCCATGTTCATGCATTCCGACTCTCGCGTCTTGCAGTTCGCCTCATACACCTTCGACGCCAGCATCATGGAGACCCTGTCGTGCCTCCTGGTTGGTGGGTGTGTCTGTGTCCCGTCGGACGAGGACCGGATGAACGACGTTTCTGCCGTCATCCAGAATATGGGCGTCACCTGGACGCTGCTCACGCCCTCTGTGGCAAGCACCGTCAAGCCCGAAAGTGTCCAATGCCTCAAGACCCTCGTCACTGGTGGAGAAGCCATGGCCGCTGGTCACATCGCTCGCTGGGGCACTCAGTGCGCACTCGTCAACGCTTACGGGCCCACCGAGTGTTCGGTGGTAGCAACCACTAGCACCAAGGTCGATGAGTCGCACCGTGTTTGCAACGCTGACCGCTCCAACATTGGCACTGCCGTTGGAGGCCGCGTCTGGGTTGTCGACGCGCAGAACCCCGACCAGCTCGTCCCAGTTGGTGCAGTTGGTGAGTTGGTGGTCGAAGGACGACTGGTAGCACGTGGCTATCTCAACAACAAGGAACAGACCGACAAAGTCTTTATCCGCTCACCGGAGTGGACACAACACCCAAACTTCCCGAAGTCTATGGGGCTCAACGAGGAGAAGATGTACCGAACGGGCGATCTCGTGCGCTACAACTCGAACGGGTCTATCTCATACATTTCCCGCAAGGATACGCAGATCAAGTTGAACGGCAGACGCATTGAGCTCGGCGAAATCGAGTTCCACTGCCGAGCCGGTCTCCCAGATGACGCACAGTCAGCCGTCGAGGTGGTGTTGCCGGCCACCAGCCGCGCCGCATCCAAGGCCCTCGCCGTCTTCTTCACCCTTCCCAGCAACGCACCCTCCACGCCGGCCTTTTCCCTTTTGCCCGTCAACGAATCCATCCGCAAACTCGCCGCGGCAATGGAAAGCCATCTCTCTGGAAACCTCCCCTCTTACATGGTCCCCCAACTCTTTGTCCCCGTCTCCACCATGCCCTGGACAACCGCAGGCAAGCTCGACCGCAGACAACTCCGCCAGGCCCTCGAAGCAGCCAGCCGCGAGATGGTATCCGGGTACCGACTCTCCGCTGCCGCTGCCGCTGCCGCCGCCGCCAAGAACCAGGGCCCGGCGACAGCAACGGAGAAGAAGCTGCAGGGTCTGTGGGAGGCTGTGCTTGGCCTCCCCGCGGGCTCGGTCGGGCCTGGGGATAGCTTCTTCCGCGTTGGTGGTGACTCACTGTCGGCCATGCGTCTGGTTGGCGCAGCGCGCGCCCACAAGATCGTGCTCAGTGTGTTGGACGTCTTTCAGAAGCCCGTCTTGACGGACATGGCGCGCGCCTGTGGTGTTGCGGAGGTGGTGGTTGACCCCGTGCCGGAGCTGAAGCCGTTTGACCTAACGTCGCGCTCCCGATCGGCGCACGATGAGCTCGTCGATGAGGTTGTTTCTCAATGCAAGATCTCAGGGGACCAGATTAACGACATGTACCCCTGCAGCCCGCTCCAGGAGGGTCTTGTCACCCTCGCCAAAGCACAAGCGGGCGCATACGTCGCGGTGAACACCTTGAGGCTTCCGAGCCATGTTGACTTGGACCAGTTCAAGGCGGCTTGGCAGGCGGTTGTCGACGAGACTGATATTCTGCGCACACGAATTGTGCACACCGCCACGTCAGGCTTCATGCAAGTTGTTGTCGCGCCGGAGCCGATCCAGTGGCACGATGAGCTGTCATTGAAGGAAGCGGTCCTCAGGGGACAAGCGCTCGGCTCGCAGACTGGAGGCGCACTCGCCAGGTATGCCATTGTCAACGGCCCTGAAGGTCGTCTCTTCGTCTGGGGCATTCACCACGCTCTCTACGACGGATGGAGCTTGCGCCTCCTTGCGAGACGAGTTCAGGACGTGTACAACAACATTGCCTCTGTGCCCCCAAAGGCTATCGCAACTACTCGCGCCTCCTACGCCAACTTCATCCGGTACCTCGCGGGTAGGGATATAATCGCCTCCGAGACATTCTGGAAGGAGTCCCTGGACGGCGCCTCCGCCATCGCACACTTCCCGCAACTCCCGGCCACCACTGCGAATAAGACTGAGACTCCGAACTTCAGATCAGAGACCCGCCGGGTTGACATCCACCGCCGGGGTGCCCTGAGCGACATCACCGTCCCCACCCTAATCCGGGCAACATGGGCCATTCTCCAGGCAGCCTACACCGGAATGGACGATGTTGTCTTTGGAGAGACACTAGCGGGCCGCAACATTGACGTCCCTGGTGTTGTCGAAATGGCTGGGCCGACCTTTACCACCATTCCAACGAGAGTACGACTGGATCGTGACATGCGTCTAGGTGATTTCCTGCAGCGACTGCACACCATGGCAAGCCAAGTCGTCCCTCACCAGCATCTGGGTCTTCAGCACATCAAGAGACTCAACTCGGATTGCTCAGGCGCCTGCGACTTCCAAACCCTACTTGTGATCCAGGCCGCCTCACCCACTTCGGGCCAAGAGGGATCCCAGGAAGCCGATTGGGACTTCCAAGGAGGTTCCTCAACTGACAGCTTCTTCACCCATCCGCTCGTGGTGGAATGCTCCACCACTGAGACGAGCATCGAGGCCACCTTCCACTACAACGAGAAAGTGCTGTCTTCATGGCAAACAAAGCGCCTTGTTTACCAGTTCGACGCCGTCCTGAAGCGTCTGCTCGAGAAATCCGCAAACAAGGACGCCACTTTGGCCGAGATCCCAGCCATCAGCCCCGAAGACCAGTCTCTCATCGCAAGGTGGAACCGCGCCAACATGCAAGAGACAGTCGACTCGTGCATTCACCATCTTTTCCTGGCCCGGGCGGCTGAACAACCCGAACGGGTTGGCGTCAGCGCCTGGGATGCCGAGCTGACATACGGCGAGATCCGTGAATATGCGTCTCGTCTTGCGCTCCACCTCAACCAGCATGGCGTTAAGGAAGAGACTCTGGTACCCGTTTGTCTCGAACGCTCGGCTTGGTCGATCGTTATCCTAATAGGCATCTTCATGGCTGGTGGCGCATTCATCCCGCTCGATCCAGCTCACCCCGTCAACCGACAAAAGGAGGTTTTGGAGACCATCGAACCTGCTCTGATGGTTTGCAGTCCCGAATACGCCTCTCGATTTGTTGGCCTTGTCAACACGCGTATCTCCGTTGATGGCACCATGCTCCGCAGCCTTCCTCCATCTCACGGTCAAACGCCTGCTATTGTCACCAATCCTGGTAACACGGCCTATGTGCTCTTCACATCTGGCAGCACAGGCCGTCCCAAGGGCGTTGTGGTGGCTCATCGCGACTTCTGCAGCAGCTCGGCCGCCTTCACTCGCGTGTGCAACATGAACGCATCCTCGCGCGTCTTCCACTTTGCCTCCCTAACATTCGATGCCGCACTCCTGGAAGTGGTGACACCGCTCACAATCGGTGCTTGCATCTGCGTCCCCACGGCACACGACCGACTCCACAATCTGGGAGCGGCCATGGCTCGCCTGCGCGCCACATGGGCTTTCCTCACGCCGTCCGTCGCCAACCTCCTCAACCCCGACCTCGTCTGCCCGACATTCAAGACCCTGGTCTGCGGCGGCGAGGCCATGCTCGCCGAGACCATCCAACGCTGGGCAGACCGCGTTGAGCTCATGAACGGCTACGGGCCCACCGAGACCTGCGTCTTTGCCGTCATCAACCCGAATGTTTCCAAGGAAAAGGACCACACCACCATCGGCCGCGGCACCCCCGCCGCACGGCTGTGGGTCGTCGACCCCAACGAGGGCTGCAACGACCGCCTTGCGCCCGTCGGTGCCATCGGCGAGCTGGCCATCAGCGGACCCCTCATGTCCCGCGGCTACCTCGGCGACGCCGAGAAGACCGCCAAGGTCTTCGTCGACAACCCCGGCTGGGCCAAGAGAGAACTCCTTGCCGGCGCCGCCCCGCCCACGCGCATCTACCGCACCGGTGATCTCGTGCGGTACCGCGCCGACGGCGCCATCGAATTCTTTGGTCGTAGGGACGGCCAGGTCAAGGTCAATGGCCAGCGCATCGAGCTCGGCGATATCGAGAGCCATTTGTCGGCGGACCGGCATGTGCGTCTTGGTGCTGTGGTCCAGCCGAAGAAGGGGCCGTGCAAGAAGCAGCTTGTTGGTGTTGTCACTTTGGAGAGTGCGCATCGTCCTGCGGGGGCTTCTGATGGTTGCGCGCCCCTGAGTGGTTCAAAGGAGGAGATGGCCCGAGCCCGTTCCGATATTGCTGATATCCGGGCTCGTCTGGCCGAGTTGCTCCCGCATTACATGGTTCCGGCCGCGTGGATCGTGCTCGAGACCATGCCTGTTGTTGTGTCGGGCAAACTGGACCGGCGGAGAGTGGCTGGGTGGGTTGAGGGGCTCGAGGTCGCCGAGTACGAGCGTATTGCTCTGAGCCTTGGCATCAGTGAAGGGGGTGAAGGTGAAGAAGAGGAGGTGGATATGACTGGACCTGTCAAGACACTGAGGGAGATTTGGGCGAAGGAACTGAACATGCCTGTGGAGCGTGTCAAACTCAATCAACCCTTCCTTGGTCTCGGTAGGTTCCACCCCCCGCGAGGTTGTTGTTGTTTTCGAACTGACGAACGAACTCGTACACAGGTGGAGACAGTATCAGGGCCATGGGTGTTGTCTCGCGGGCTCGCAACGCAAAGATCAAGCTGTCCATTCAGGACGTGCTCCGGTGCAAGTCCATCGTCCACCTTACGCAGTTGGCCAAGAGCCTTCCTTCGTCCTCCTCCGCAACCATCCGCGAGGAGGAAACCGAACAGCCTTTCGCATTGTCCCCCGTTCAGACCATGTATATGAAATCGGCCGTTAAGCATGCCGGCGACGCTCGCTTCAACCAAAGCTGTACGCTGGGTGTTCCCCGCCAGGTCACCAACGACGCGATCAAGAAGGCTATCAATTCCATTGTCGAACGGCACGCCATGCTTCGGGCGCGCTTTTCCAGGATGCAAGATGGCAGATGGGAACAACGCATCTCAAAGGTAAACTTGCATTTCACTCCCTTCCCCCTTGCCGCATGCTGAACGAGTATTAACGTCCGGCTAGATGGGTCCTACAACCTACACCTGCCTGGAGCATCAACTGCACTCTCGCGATAATATGAAATTCATTGTTGCAGCAGCACAAGCCAGCCTGTCTGTCGAACACGGCCCTGTGTTCAGGGCCGACTTGTTCGACGTGGCTGATGAAGATCTCACCATCATCTCCATGGTTGCTCACCATCTCTGCGTCGATATGGTTTCCTGGCGCATCGTTGTGCAGGACCTCGGCCAGATCTTGGAGACTGGTTCTCTTCCATCTGAGATGCCTCTATCTTTCCGGTACTGGTGCGCCCACCAGTCCGCGGACAACAAAACAGCCGATGTTGAGACTCTGCTCCCGTTCAAGGAGATGTCGCCTGAGCTGGGCTACTGGAACACTCAAGGACCACTCACATATGGCAGAACGACCACCGATATCTTCACACTTGAAGCTGATACGACAAAGCTTGCTCTGGAAGAGTCCCACCAAGCCTTCAGGTCAGAGCCTGTCGACTTATTCCTGGCGGCCATTACCCACGCCTTTGCGAGGACATTCCCAGACAGGGGTGTGCCGACACTGCACGTTGAGAGCCACGGCCGCGAGGCTCCCGAGGGCTCCAACCTTGACTTGTCACAGACAGTCGGTTGGTTCACCACAATCTGCCCCGTGGCTGTCCCTGACCACGGCCGCCACCATAATGCGCTCGACACCCTGCGACGGATCAAGGATGTACGCCGCAGTATCCCAGGTCACGGCAGACCTTACTTCGCTCACAAGTACCTCGGACTGGCTGCTGATGACGCATGGTCTCCTATGGAGGTCCTGTTCAATTACCTCGGCGGCGGGGTGGGCGCCCAGCAAACTGAGCAAGACGACTCCCTTGTTCGCCAGGTCAGCCTCGAGGACACCGACCTGAGCACCGCAGATGTTGGATCCGAGACGAGGAGGTTGGCTCTCTTTGAGATCTCCGCCATGGTGGTCGACAACAAGCTGCACTTCAGCTTTGTATACGACACCAGCCTCGGCCGTGTGGGAGATGTTCGCAAATGGATCGCCGCTTTCCGACACACTCTTGAGGACATGACCAGGACTCTCTCGCAACACGCTGCTGAGCCGACTCTGAGCGATTATCCGCTCCTGCCAATGACCTACCACTCCCTCCGCACCCTTACCGAGGTTGCCCTCCCTCGCGTCGGTATTGACCGGGCCTCCGCTTTCTCCCTGATCGAGAACATCTATCCGTGCACTCCGATCCAAGAGGGTATGCTGATCAGCCAACTGCGCAACCCGGAGGCTTACATCTTCCACGCTGTCTACAATCTTGCGCACTCGAATCCCAGCCATCGCCTCGACGCCGAGAAACTTGCACGGGCGTGGCAGAAGGTAGTTGACCGTCACGCCGCCCTCAGAACCATTTTCATCGAGAGCGTTCGCCGCGGCGGCGTCTTTGACCAAGTTGTCCTGAAGAAGGTGGACTGTGGAGCCGTCATTCTCAACGGCAGCGACCAAGACGCGATGAAAAAGCTCAACCAAGTCACCCTTGCCAAAGCCAAGCGGCCACAGCTCGCCCATCAGCTTGCTCTGTGCACGACGAGCAGTGGGAAGCTCCTCATGAAGCTCGAAATCAACCACGCCGCTATGGATGGCGGCTCCCTTGCTATCATACTCGAGGAACTGACATCTGGTTACATGGGCGGTCTCACCAGTGGCCCCGGTCCTTTGTTCAGCGACTATGTCCAGTACATCTGTGACATGCCTGCAGGAGAGGACAGCGACTATTGGATGCGTTATCTGAAGGGCCTCGAGCCATGCTACTTCCCGAACCTCAACAGCAGCACCATTACCCTGGTCTCCGAGAACAGAAAGTTGCGCTCGACGGCCCTCGAGTTCAACCGCTACACCGAGCTCCGTCAGCTTTCCGAGCGGACGCAGGTCACCCTCGCCAACATCATGCACGCAGCCTGGGCTTTTGTGCTGCGCAAATACACTGCGTCTGATGATGTCTGCTTCGGCTACCTCACCGCAGGCCGCGACGCACCGGTTGAGAACATTAGCCGCACGGTTGGTACGCTTATCAATATGCTCTGCTGTCGGGTTCGGATCTCCAAGTCGAAATCACTCGAGGATGTCTTCATGATGGCGCAGGAGGAACACCTCCAAAGCATCCAATTCCAGCATTGCTCCCTGGCCCGTGTGCAACACGACTTGGGCATGGCGGGAAAGCCGATGTACAACACCTCGGTTTCGATCCAGAATCATGGTGAGGCTGAAGAGGGAGGTGGCCAAGACACCATTCTGTTTAATATGGAGAAGGGTCATGATCCCAGCGAGGTAAGTTAACGCACCACCAATTCACCAAGGCTTGGCTAACAGTCTCACAGTACGCCCTCACGGTCAACATCGAAACTTCGAAGAATAGCGAGGGTGTCATCTTCCGATACTGGTCTGACCATATCACCGACGAACAAGCCCAGGAAGTGGCCCGTTTCATGGCCCAAGTCCTGGATGCTTTCATCACGCAACCGAAGCAAGCCGTTAGGGACCTGGATGCGGCACTCAGCGGCAAGAAGAATACTATCCAGCCGACCGAGGACCTCGTGGTCGAGCAGATGGAAGATTCGGGCATCATGACGCCGAGAAGCATAATCTCGTCATCCTCCGGCCATCTCCCCATGACGCCAAACAATGAGCTGGCTGACCAAGGTGCCTACGAAAAGACACTTCTCTCCTTGTGGGGAACTCTCCTCGACCTTCCTGAGGATACTATTGCTGGGCATGACAGTTTCTTCGACCTCGGAGGAGACAGCATCACAGCCATGAAGCTCGCAGGTGAGGCCAGGGATCACGGCCTATCACTCACCGTTGCCGATGTCTTCCGAAACCCATGCTTCGACGGCATGGTCGCCCGGGTGCGCACCACGACAGATCTACACGCCATTGGCAGCGACCTTGTCAAGAGCAACAGTGGGACCATGACTCCGCAATCCAGCAATGGCGATTCCTACGAACGGTTTTCGCTCTTGGCGGCGTCAAACGTCGACGCCTTCCTCCAAGCCAGCATCGTGCCCCAGGTCTGTGTTTTCAGGGGCGGGATTTCGGACGTCCTCCCCGCCACAGACTTCCAATCTCTGTCCGTCGCCGGGGCACTCCTCGAATCCAGATGGATGCTGAACTACTTCTACCTCGACGGCAAGGGGCCTCTGAACGTCGTCCACCTCAAACGGGCTTGCTTCCGAGTAGTGCAGGCCCTGGACATTCTGCGTACTCGTCTTTGTACCTTCGGGCGGTCGCTTCCTGCAGGTCGTTCCTGCGCACTCTTCGGCTCGCTTTTCACGTCGTCGAGACAGACGAATCGCTAGACGACTACTCAAGTCGGACAAGAAGGGGATGAACTCAAACTCGGCGAGCTCGTTTGTCGAGTTCACGCTGGTCAAGCACACTTCCAGCACCGACACAGGCTGTACTTCGCATTTCACACGCGCAGTACGACGGCGTGTGCTTCCCCAAGATTCTTGCCGCCCTTCCAAGCTGGCCTAACAGGGGCGAGGCTGTTCCCCGCCCCCCTACCTTTGCCAATTATCTCCGTGCTTCCGCCGGTGCCCTGACCTCGGAACACTACCAGCACTGGAAACAGCTCCTCGCTGGGTCTTCCATGACCGAGATCGTGCGCCGCGATGGGCCCAACTACAACAGAAACTCTGCAGGCACGACTCCCACCTGCCTCAAGAGCACAGCCCGCCTGCCACCCGTCGAGTCCGGCCATATCACCACCGCCACCATCGTCAAGGCCGCGTGGGCATACGTACTGGCACAAGTCTCGGCCAGCTCCGACATCGTCTTCGGCCACACCATCAGCGGGCGCAACGCCGCGGTCGAGGGCGTCGGCAACATGGTCGGACCCTGTCTCAACCTCGTGCCGGTGCGCGTACAGTTCGGCAGTGGGCCGGACTGGACAGCCCGCCAACTCCTCCGCCAGGTCCAGGACCAACAAGTCGCCAACATGTCGCACGAGGTGCTGGGCTTCCGCGAGATCATCCGCCACTGCACCTCGTGGCCGCGCTGGACCTACTTCGCGTCGACGGTCCAACACCAAAACATCGACCAGGGCGGCCAAATGCAGCTGGGCGCCACAGACTACACGGTCGGATGCGCGTCGATGGGACAAGAGGACTTCGGCGACCTTTCCGTCCTATCGCAGCCGCTCGCCGACAACGACACGTACGAAATCATGCTGAGCTTTGCCGAAGGCGGTGCCGTGCCGCGCGACTTTGCCGAGCGCATGCTCGACATGCTGTGCAGCACAGCGCAGCTCTTTGCCACAGACCCGGACCTTGCTCTCCCGTCCGCCGCCGACCTCTGTGGCAGGCGAAAGCAGATACCATTTGACGACGTCCCGGCCTTTTCGGACACCGAAAACAACAACTTGAACAATACCAACCTGGGATCGACAACTCCCGGCCTCAAACACCTCAGCGACGAGCAGCTCGCCGATCTCAACACAGCAGTCAGCTCCGCCTGGCGACAGGTCCTCAACCTCGAAGACCCCGACCAACAAGGGGTAACAATAACAACAACAACTGAAACACCCACCGCCGCCCACCCCTTCCACCGAAACACCTCCTTTTTCTCCCTCGGCGGCGACATCATCGGCCTCGCCCAACTCGCCTGGCTCTTCGGCCAGCAACAGCCGGCCTGGCGCCCGAGCAACACCGCCACCGCTGCTGCGCCGCGCCTCGAGGAGCTGGTCGACAACCCCACCGTCGGCGGGCACATGGCGCTGCTGGCGCGGGGGATGCCGCCTGCGGTGGGGGCGGTGCTGCCGGCTTCGCCGGTGGTGGGGGCGGAGGAGATGCGGAAGGCGGCGACGTTCCCCATTGTGGGTGGGCGGAGGAGGGAGAGTGCGGGTGTTGGTAATGTTGCGGGTGGGGGCGGCGGTGGGAAGGGGGAGGGGCAGTCCAAGTTGGCGAAGGCGTTGGGTGGGCTGGTGAAGAGGAGGTTTACGGGTGGGGGCGGGAAGAAGAAGGGCGCTGACGGGGTGGTGGAGATTGTTGCTTAGGGGGGCTGGTGATTGGGGTGCGTGTGTGATGGTAAAATGTGGTGGAAAACTCCTTGATGGTTCTGTTTTGTTAATTGGCTTGACTTCATCTTTTGTTTCTTGGTTTGTTTGGTTCAGGAGTTGGCGGCGTTGGGGTTGACGGCGTTGGGGTTGACGCGTTTTTGTATTTGATTGCGCTGGCGTTTGGCTTGACTTCACTCATTGGTTATCTTTCTCTGTTGTTTCTTTTGTTCTAGTCTCTGGTCAGAAGATGTTTTAGATCGTACTCCATTGTTGAATCCTCTTCATGATACTAAGCTGTGATTCGACTCCAAGGCCGGTGAGCGAGTCTGGGGACGCACAGATGCCCAGACACGGGATCTAAAATAATGCTAAATGTGGTACTTTGATCCATCGATAATCCTAACCTAGCTGGAGATCTCTCTTCGACCGTTTTGGGTTTGGAGCTACCCGCCCTTCCAGTCGCAGATGGTCATCACCGCGGTAGGACACTTACTACGGCCATTGTGATTGTTGATGCTGGCGTACCGCCTCGTACCGCCTAGTGCGAGGCCTTCGAATTGTTTAGTATGCTCGGTATACTCGAACTCCCTAGCCAGGCCAAAGTCGATGGTATAGAGTATGTTTCCTTGCCTACCGATCCCCATCAGGAAGTTGTCCGGTTTGATATCGCGATGGAGGAAGCCTTTCGAGTGAATATATTCAATTCGAGCGATGGCCTGGTCAGCAATGAGGAGGATAGTTTTCAGCGAGAACTTTCGGCCACAGTAGTTGAGAAGATCCTCAAGCGATGGGCCGAGCGCGTCCATAACCAGGATATAGAAATCGCACTCCTTGCCAAACCATCGTAATCGCGGATTTCCGACCCCGCCGGCCAGCTCCTCGTATATATCCTTCTCGTCTCTGAGTGCGTCGGCGTTGTCTCGAACGAAGCTAAGTTTTATAGCGACCTCCTCACCCGATGAGAGATCGGTTCCTGTCCAGTGAGCAGGAGTGAGCAACGGCTGAAAGAGAGGAAGACAGAGCTGTGGGTCCAGAATTACCGGAATAAACAAGGCCAAAGCCTCCAGCGCCGATCTTATGTTCAACACGGTACCGGTCCGCAATTAGAATATCCTAAAAAATATATGAAAAGCTTCCTCCTTGTCACGGGAATCAAATAACCGTACCTTCATTGTAAAATGCCTTCATGGTAGGCTGTGAGGGATAGTGACGAAGTGAAGGAAGGGCAGAGGCAATCGAAGCGGACAAGGATGTCGCTCGCGCCAAGCTCACCCCCGTGTCACTTTTGTCACTTTCCGTGTCGCTTTCCGTTGGACCCACTCTTTCCTGGTCCGGCACGTTGGAGCTTGTTCCGGCCCGAGCCGTCCTCGACTTCAAGAACATTACTGTTCATACGAATACCAAGCATACCCACTCTTTGCAACGCCGCTAATGGCCGGTTGACGACGCCCACAAGCCGCACGCACGCTCCGAGGCAACGACGCGCTGCGGCCCAACATGCCTCTATTGAGCGAGAAGTGCTCGCATAATCCACGCCCATCCGTAGGGGGTAGACAACCGCACGTCAAGTTCCAAGAATCCAATCCAATCATTCCTTGCCGCGCACACCACCCGAGGAGCTGGAGGTCCTGCAACGCCAGCTCAGCTCGGCCCCAGTCCGGCCCTGAAGCACGATCCGACCCAATATCCTTCTAGCCGACCGCCCCTCGATCCGACCCTTTTAACCATGGCGAGTATGCAAAGCCGAAAGAGAGCTCGAACCGACGACCTCTCGCAAAACCACCATCCGAATAAGAAGCGCAAGTCGAGAGCCGAGTCGAGAGCCGAACGCCGCGGGCCGTCCAACTTCCCCCCAGAATTTTGGGACAGCCTACCCAAGGTGCTGCTCACGCGTCGCGCGCTACGAGAACTCGATCGTCGGAACCGTGCTCGGCCTGCTCCAGTGCCCGCGACCCCTGCAGTCTACACCACAGATCGCGCCCGTTTCGCAGGACACGGCGGCCCAGATCTTTGCCATCTTCGAGGGGTATGTTCGTGAGAATAAGGCTAGCAACCGCCGCTGACTTTCCGTCTTAGTACCCAGAACCGGAAAGCGCCGCCCACACCATGGCTTCCAGCCGTTCAACCGAATCGTCGAGCCAGAAAACCAACTCGAAAACGACGAAAGCGACTTCCAAGAAGTCATCGGCGTACGACAGTGCCTTCGAACTGCATCTCAGTGAGAGCAACATTTACCTACATGGCCGGAAATCGAAGCCCAAGCACAACATAGACTTAGGCCAGCCAAGTCCGTCACTTTCCCCGTCAAAGTTCTCCGATGGTGCTTTTGAACGCTTTCAAGATGAACACGACTATTTGGGTTCCGAAGGGGATGTGATGCGCAAAGTCGTTCCAGTGATCGCTGGCGACGCGAACATCCTCAACAGTGGAGATGTACTCTTCGCAAAATTTACTGTCAATCACTGATAAAAAGACGGTCGATGCGAAGCCCGACTTTTACGACGGAGCCCGTTTTGATGATGTCGATAAGGAAGTCAGAAACGAATTGAACCACCTAATCATCCCCACCCAGGACATACAACGACCAGTGGTGCCGAACTTCTTCTTGGAGGTGAAAGACACTAACGGCGGAGCAAGAGTAGCGAAACGGCAAGCCGGCTATGACGGAGCCATCGGCGCCCGCGCGATGCACGCGCTGCAGAACTACAGTGTGGAGGAGCCCGCCTTCGACGGCAATGCCTACACTTACAGTTCGACCTATCACGCCGGCACTGGCACACTCCAACTGTACGCCCGAGTACCACATGACCCCGCTTCGCGGTTACGCACTGACAAGCGATATCGATACCTTTCGCCGAGGAGCGACTGCATTCCGGAACGCGCGGGACTTGGCGCAAACGCATCGCGATAGCTTCATCCAAGCGGCGAACGCCAAGGCATGCCAGTCCGGCGTGGAGGCGCCCCCTGAGCCGGAGACCACGGCTGCAGCGGCGGACCAGTATGATGACTCGACTACCGACGAATTCCTGGACTGCGAGGACTTTGACCACGCTGCACACGAGGATGTCGACGAAGAGCTTACCCGGGACCCCGCATCCGTTGGTGCGGAACCCGCCATGAACTTTGCCACGAGCTTCACGTCTAGGTTCACCGCACAGAGCCAGACCAGTTCGAAGCGGAACAGAGACAGCCCCCCATCCCGGCCGCGCAAGAAGCCCGACCTGAACAAGACGCCGACACTAGGAAGTACGCACCGACCAGCGGCCGGGTCTTCTGCGCAGAGCTCCGCGTCTTCAGGTTCCACTGTCCCTCTGCCAGCCTTGGCCGAAAAATCCCGGTTCTGGAGTGGCAAATATCAGAAGTGGTATCATTTGAACGAGGACGGCAGCCATAGCTGGGACGAAGGGGAGTGATGCTGGCGTAGACTTGAAGGGGCGTTCCCGAGGTAGGTTGACTCTGGCTTCGTTCCCTCATAGTATTTTTTTCAACCGTGATACCCCCGGCGGCGGTTTGGATTGGCCATCTCATATTTCTTGGTACCAGTTTATAAAATATATTTTGGTGGGCAAACTAAACAACTGCCCTACCGCCAGCTCGATGGTGGTGCGAGGCATTCTCCGTCCGTTTCTTCACCTTCTCTACCGCTACGCGGGCCAAGCCTCGCTCCACCGACTCGTCATCTTCAACGGGGCATTGAGTACATACTACCTTCCAAATCCGTAAAAGGTAAGATTCTTGTGAAACCTAAGGATGCCCAAAATAACTAAGTCAAAAGACCCATAGCATTTGGTGCGCTGATGACAAAGCCGATTCACTCCTTGGAAACGCTGGCATCAGTGGCTGAGCGGCCAAAACCGCTTTACCCAGCCAAGCATGACGCGGAGACAACTTCGCTTCCGCCCCCAAAACGCCGAGGGATCACGACCCCTGTCCCCGCAAAGACCTCGTGTACATTGGTTTCTTCGGTTTCTAAGGGGAAAGTGGGGAGATCTGACCATCCCGTAATCCATGAACGAAGGAGCAAGAATCCATCCACGCGTCTAGTGGATGGACGCGTACGTCGACAATGACCTTGGCACTGGATCAGCCTCACCAGCGCCATCATGCGTCTCAGAAAGGGGCTGAAGCCATCATCAAGTCATCGTTAAAGCCTCAACCACAGGGTTATTTAATCTCAACTCTATCTCACGATGTCGATGTTCGGTCCTCATCACCCTCAGACACCCGAGCCTCCATCTTGTCGTAACCTACACTAAAAACCGATCATGCATTTTCCGACCCAGTCCTGGACCTTCTGGTCCGCGGCCCTCCTAGCGACTCCCACCACCGCCTTCATCTCGCCGCTCCGCGCCCGCCAAGCCGACGACACCGCCGCCGCCTTCGACTGGACCTCCATCACGCCCACGCCCGACCTGCAGTACCACTCCTGCTACGGCACCTTCCAATGCGCCCGGCTGCGCGTACCCCTCGACTGGTCCAAGGAACCCACCTCCCACTCCAACGCCAACTCCTCCTTCTCGTCCTCCTCTCCAGGCCCCTACGCCGCCGTCGCCATCGTCACGCTCCCCGCCACCGTCCCCGTCTCAGACCCGTCCTATGCCGGGCCCATCCTGATCAACCCCGGCGGACCGGGCGGCTCGGGCACCCAGATGGCGCTGAGCCTGGGCGCCGTCATGCAGGGGCTGGTCGACGTCCCCGGCGTGCGCCACTACGATGTGCTCGGCTTCGACCCGCGCGGCGTGGCGCTCACCACTCCGAGCGGCTCGTGTTATGAGAACCAGTTCGACCGCGCCGTGGATGCCATGGCCCTACGCGGCATGCCGACTGCCCTGAGTGAGCAGGGCGTGAACATGAGATTTGGTGCGAATCACGCCGCGGGTAAATTGTGCGATGAGAACGTCTTCAAGTATCTGTCGACTGCGTCGGTGGCTAGGGATATGTTGGAGATTGTGGACCGGAGCCACGAGCTGATCATGAAAACTGCCGGTTCGAATTCAACTCGGAAGGCTTGTGGTGGGGGAGCGAGCGGGGACAAGCCGAGACTGCAATATATCGGCTTCTCGTATGGGACTATCGTGGGGAATACGTTTGCTTCCATGTTTCCGGGCAGGGTGGGCAGAATGCTGCTAGATGGGGTTGCCGATGCCGAGGATTTTATGTCAGGGGTAAGTCTTTGCCAACGAAGATCTGGCGGGTTGCACTGCGCTGCGATGGAGAACTAACGGACGCAGTCCAAAAAGAACAACATAGAGGACGCCGAACCCTCCGTTGACGCCTTTTACCGCACCTGCTTTGATGCCGGGGCCAGCTGTCCCCTCCGCCAGAGCAGCGACACCAGCTTCGCTGATATACGTGCCCGCGTCAGCGCCCTTCAGACCAGCCTCCAGGAAGCTTCCGTGGCGACCGTCTACAACAACCGGGTTTACACCATGACCTCGTACCTCCTTAGCGAGAAGATCCGTACCTCCCTCTACGAGCCTATCCCGAAATACGAGCCTCTTGCCATCGCCCTCGCCGAGGCCCTCGCAGGCAACTTCAGCTCCATCCTCGCCGACGAGACCGTGATGGGCATCGACCTCCGCTCCAACGTCTGCACCGAACCCCCCGCCAGCGACCCGCCCCAGGAGTACAACTTTCCCTACGAGGCCGCGCGAGGCATCATCTGCGGCGACTCGCAGGCGTCCGCCGGCAAGCGCGATCTCGCCTGGGCGGCCGACATCGTCGCCCGCACCGTCAACCAGTCCTCTTCGATTGGCGAGGCCTGGTCCAACATTGGGCTGGCGTGCGCCGACTGGTCCATCGCGCCGGCGTACGCCTTTGCGGGCCCCTTCGGCAGCAGGGCGCCCGACAACAGCAGCAACACCCCCGCCGCCCCCCTGCTCATCATGTCGACCAAGACGGACCACGCCACGCCGCTGGCCAACGCGTATGCGCTATCGCGCATGCATGGGGGCTCGGCGGTGGCTGTGGTCGATGCGGTGGGCCACTGTGGGCTGTTGGCGACGAAGAGCACGTGCATGTATGGCATTGCGCAGGAGTATTTTCATACGGGTAAGCTGCCTGTGAATGGGACAGTTTGTGAGCCGGACTGTGTGCCGCAGATTCCGTTCAAGGCTTGTCCTGGGCTGCCGGGGGCGTAGGGGGTCGGAGACGGATGTAGAAGAGAAAGGCACTGCAATAAGGGGAGGAGGGGTGGAGAACAAGGGCAAACAGAATTTTGGCAGTTGATCAATCGACTTAAGCATTCGATTCGTATTAAATGTTAATATTAGAAATCAGTTGCTCATCTTAGAGTACATGTACTCGTATTTATTTAGATAATAGCGGCTCATCTGAGTGCTGTCGATCAATGGACCGAAACAGCAATGTCCGCAAGAAGTTACCATTACAGTAATTAACTATTTGAAACCAACCGGTGTATAGATGCTAATAATAACAAGTACTCGCGTTACTAACTCGTGAAGATACTAGTATTCTCGAACATTAGCTCCGTGGCACGGAATGTGGAGAATAAGGCCAGGACAAACACCATAACTCCACTCGGGAAATATCTCCGCCAGCACAAAACTTCAATGTTTAGGCTTGTGCCGCTTCCGTCGATGGTGGCCCCGACAGCCGCTGGGCCGCCATCTTCCGTTTCATCCATCGCCTCTTTTTTGGACTAGATAATTCCTTTGCGTCCACACTTCCCGACCCCAGTGGTCTATAGCTCCGCCCTCACTGAATCCTTAAAAATAGTGTTTACACCCTTCTTCTCTGTATGTTATGTAATAGTTGTAGGTTGCATACAGGTTGTAGAACTTGAGGCCATGACGGTGGCTCCAAATACGGTCTGAAAATGAAACTAGCCGTGTAGGTAGGTGGTTAGAAGGAAGGCAAGTCGCTAACAACCTTGTGAAGGGTTCTATAGAAAGAACCAAAATGGTTATATAGTGTAGCCTGGTCATCCGCAACGGATCTGGGTCCCCAAAACTTTAAATTTGCCCTTCTTTCTTTTTTTTTTTTTTTTGGTTACACAACAGCAACCCGGAGTGTCTGATTTGGAAGTAAAAAGTGCATTATCCCCTAGAGTTCTCCTCCTTGAACTGTAGCGTTTTCCTATTTGAACTGTAGTGGTCCGTGCGTCAGCCAAAACGGGAAGGCGGTGAGCTGCATGATTCGGAGCCCTACTTTGGAGACAAATCATGGAACTTCGCTCCAATAGTCACCATTTTCATCCAGCAGAACGCACGAATACCAAGAAGTTCTTCAAGCCCTGATTCAGGAAAATACGCAAAACTCTCAATACTGCTGCAAGAAAAGGAGAATAACGACTGTTGCTTCCAGGCCGAGGTTAGTCCGACCCTCGGACTGCCACGTGAATGCAGTTCTCTACGCTGTCTTGCGTAACCTCCTGTTGCCGCACCTCCTGCCGTGAAATTGGGGCCGTTGCCGGGACGGCCTTCACTGCCGACCTTTTGGATTTGTTATTCCGGCCTCGCTTCGACGCCGGAGGTCCTTCTACCTCGGCTAGGTCCTCCGATTCCCATTCGGAGGCCCGGCGCCGAACCGACGGCTTCGTTGGCCGGGGATTCAGCCTGGAGGACGAAACCGGTCTCCCTCCGGCTGCCGGCATCGAGGAGTGAGGTGTCAAAGAAGGAAGCGCCGAAGAGGAGGGCGTTGCAAATGGCCCCATCCCGCGAGGCCGTCCCTTTACGGCCGTGATTACGTCTGGCTCTTTTAGGCGGAGAAAGGGGTACTCTGCCTCCAGGGATCTCTCCAACCACCAAAAAGGGGCGAAATCGGCCTTCGTGAGAACTCCTTCCGCGCTGAGTTTCTCCTGTAGCTTGTGGGTGCAGGGAAGCCCCCACTGCTGCGTAAAGCGCCCTGAACAAGGAGGGAGTGGTGGCGACCGGCCTAATCCAGCGGCAACCACCCGTTTCTTTTGTTCGTTCACCTTGTTGATCGCCTTGTAGCAGACCTCCCGAGTTGTGGCCCCAAGCCACTCAAAACTTCTCCCGGTATATTCATAACGCTGGCGGTTCTTCTGGGCTGCGATCTTCTCCGTGAAAGTGACTTTCTTGGCTTGAAGCATCTCCTTAATGACTTCATGGATTTTGAAGAGAGAGGAGAGACCACTGATGAGATATCCCTTCAGCTCCCGATGAGAAGACTCCGTGGGCGACGTGGTACGCTGGCCGAAGTTGCGGTACCAGGACACCCAAGGCCCAGCCCACTCCTCCTTGTACGGCATATACCGCTCTTCAAGGTAGGCAACGATGCTCTGCTGATCAGAGAACGACTCTTTCAGCTGGGTCCACGCCTTCTCGAAGTCTTCTTCACTGGTTGTATAGACCATGAACTTCCACAAGACATATAGGCCGGCCTTGGTATGGGGCAACTCCTCAGGGCTCGGGAGTCTTATGCCTGATTCGGTGCCGGCAATGGCTTCACCTGTCTCGTCATCCCGGGCAGGAGCGTTGAGGAGAGACAAAGTCAGCTGATCTTCTTCGTCGAGAAGCATCGGGTCTGCCGTGGCTTCATCCCGCGTGTTTGCCGTGTTGGGGTTGGCTAGCTCTTTCCACTTGCGCTTGAAGTTGAGGACAACGTTGCGGTTGACATGAAACAGACAGATCTGTTGCTGAACATGGGGAAAGACTGCTTTGAGGGCGTTCTTTAGAGCCTTCTCGAAATCGGTGATGATGACTTCTGGGATGGGGACGTCGTGCTTTAGACGCAATGCCTGAAGCTGATGCATCAACCAAGTGAAGCCGTCTTCTCTCTCGTTATCCACCAGGCCGAAGGCTACGTTGAAGTTGGTAGATACGTTCGTGACGCCTGTCACCTGGAATAACGGCATCTTGAAGCGGTTAGTTTGGTAGGTGTTGTCCAAATGAAGGACTGTTGAGAACCGTTTCCACATCTCCAGGCACCAGGGATAAGTCCAGAATAGACCTATCACCTTATCAACGTCCTCCGGAGAATACCGAACGACATGATCGATATCATGCTCCTCGAGAATCTTGATCAGGGCTTGAGTTGGGTTGTGTCCGTCGAGTTTGTCCCGTTGCAGCCGTTCCCGGTAATTGGTTACATCCTTAGTCGTGAAGACAGTGTGAGGGTAGCGCTTCTGAAGGAATAAGACGATGTCTCTAGGACGTTGGGCGGGATTCAGAGACAGGGCCGCCACGTCCTTCTTCATCGCGTCTGACAGTCCCCGATGGACGGCGTGAGTGGTCAGCTCTGCCCGATTCTCTCCGCTGGTGTCGTGGTTATGGTTCTGGTTGGCGATCTCGAAAGTCCACTGCCTGTCGTTCTCCTTCAAGGCTTTAGCAGCGCCTCGCCAGTGACACCCTGTCTTGGAAGTCGTGGTCTTGCGGACGGTTGCGAGAGAAGGTCTGGCTTGTCCCCGGTCGCAATAGAGATCAAAACGTGTGGCTTGTCCGTTGATGTAGTTCGAAGCTCGCCTCTTCACAAATCCCAGACCATAGGACTTCCCCTAAAAGTTCAGATCAAGCAAGAGCTCGTTGCAGGAGGCGTAAGCCGGGCCAGTGAGGAGACGGTGGCCTGGCGGGATGCTTGGTGGTGCAGGTGCACCATAAGGAGACCCTGTCAAGACAGCCTCTGGTTGGAGTGAAGCCGGTAACTCCTCCATGTCCTGCAGACTGCGCAATGACATATATTTAATAAGAAAACCTGAAATCAAAAAATTAGCACTTAAATAATCCATTCTCGATGCCCAAATGAGGGTATTCTCACTGCGCCGTTGTGGAATCGTAACGTTGCTTCGGGTGTTATGCTGTGATGCTGTGTGGCAGGCATCAAGCGGCAGAATTAATTAGCCGACGTTTTGCAGTGTTGCGCACGGACCACTACAGTTCAAATACCGATAACACAGACAGAACAGTTCAAGGAGGAGGAGACTCATCCCCTAACCTATGGTCTGGGGAATTGAAGAAGGTTAAATACACAAAAAAGATTTTCCTAGGCTTAGATGGGAGCCTTTAGTGAATGAATGTCGAAGGAATTCCACCGAATGCCATACAGCAGTATGTCCACCTCTGCCCAAGGCCGCTTAATGCCAGCCGTTACGACGGAAATATCAATGCCAACGCTTTCATATGCCCCTCCACTTGCGCACGCACGCGCGCCTCCAGCCCGACGCAGATTTGACTCTTCCCCATTCACCCCAACAGTCTTGACAGAAATTTTGTCGCCGTCCAGAACTTTCCAACTCCCCTCGCCAAGAGCTTGCCAAAAGAAATTAGCCTTTTATTTATGTCATCTTGTACAAGAGACTTTTGGACAACAGAGACCGACTCACCAGCAATCCTTTCACCTTCTTGAGCTGATATTCATGTCTTTTAGATTTTTTATCCAGCTCCTCATTCTCCGCCTCCCATTGATTCCACTGCTCGGCGCCAAAACACATGAGCCGCTCGGCCCTATGGTCGATCATCTCTTGGTGTAAATATTCGATGTCTTTTTCTAGGTCCCACGCGAGTTGCTGCCAAAACGCGGCCCTGAGGGTAAACAGGCTGGGTTTCGCCGTGGCCCCATGTCGCCCGATAATTTGGCGGAGGATTTCGCACGCCGAATGTCTCAGTATTGTAGTGCTTTTCGATGCTGGCGCCGATCTTTGCAAAAGTCTGTCCACTTGTCTTTCTTGTCCTGCTCCCTTATGGTCTTGAGATCGAACTGGGACATCATGCTACTGGCGTAACTGGGCCTCGAGACTGTCCCACATGGTAGTGACAATTGGTAACACGCTTGTAGGCGTCCTTGCCCAGGAGCTTCTCCAGGAGCCGCGTTCGCCTCACCTCCATGTTGCTGTGGGAGTTTCGCGTGACAGGATGGACAAGGATAAGCGCATCGAGGGTCTGGTTCGTGGGTCCTATCATACCCTCACCTAACATCCATTGTGAAACGTTCTGGAGGATCTCGATATCGGTCATGGTATCATCGTCAAATCCAGGCGTATCGATCAGAGTAACCGGCCGGTTGTCCAGCTTGAAGCGGACTGCTTCCGGGCGCTTGGTGCAGGGGTCCAGGCCATGTCCGATCTCCAGGTCCTGGCCCGAGGCGAGGGATGCAAAGGTGGATTTACCTGACCCTGTCACACCCATTAGGAGGATGGTGAATGGGCGAGGTTTCCCTTGTCGGTGCGTCATGGCTAATAGGAAGAATGATCAAAACGAGTTTCCGAAATAGGCATAAACTGCTGCTCGGGTGTCGTTTGTTATCGTCGTCATTGTCATGCTGGCAAACGGGCAATTACATGTAATATTGACGTGGTCCCGATCTGAGGCGTGGTGGGAACGAGCTTTATGTCGTGTCTGCTGGAGCAACAGGTGCGGCTCCCTGCCCTGTCTCACATCAGGAGAAGCCGAGAGGTAAGTGTGACGTCGGGCTGCGTTGGGCACACCACAGGGCCCTGAATGCGCTTGCCAGCCGAATTTTGGCCAAGGAACCCGAACACCAAAACTACCTAAGGTACTTAATGCCCAATCGACACGTCAGAAGCCGCGGCGGTAGAACGGAATGAGTCGTGGGGCTCGATATTCCCAATCAAGTCTTAGGGCAGGGGTACAAATCAAGTCTCGGGGACACGGGTACAAATCAAGCGCATGCCCTTTCATTGAAAGACCTCTTTTCCCCCTTGCCTTACTGGCCGAGTTCACTGTCCAGTCCATCCACCCTAACCCCCTAACCCCCTAACCACAAGGCTGCCCATTTCGTGTGGCCTCCCCAACCGAGCCATGTCAGAGTCGTTGGAAAAGTTTGTCGTCCTTCTCCTTGGGCCGACAGATTCTGGCAAAACCGCGTTTGTCAGGTGCCTGACCCAGAAGCCCCATGATGGCAAATGTGAGTCGCTTGCACATCCTTTTCCGAGTGGGGTGCACGTGTGCCTGATGGCTCAAAATCCGGTCGTTGACTTTTGGCTCAACAACAAGCCACCACCACATGCCAAGAATACACGTACCACCTAAAGTCGCCCAACAGGTCCTTTCAGATCATCGACACACCCGGACTTGACGATTCCCCGCAAGCAAACTTGGCGGTGCTCAGAATCATCGCCGAGAAGCTAGGCGAAATCATACGGAACCGGCTGACTGTTAGCGGCCTCATTTACTTCCACCGCATCACCGACCTTCGCCTCACTGGTTCCGCCCGGCACAACATTGAGATCTTGGAGGCTATATGCGGCCAGGGTTTTCTCTCCAAATCACGCGCCGCTTTTGTTACCACCATGTGGAACAGGGTCAATGAAAAGGACGAAAAGAGACACGACCAGCTGCACACGAATCTTAAGAGCCAGCCTGGCCTGAAGAAGGTAAAACCCTTCCACAAATTTCACAACGACCATGATAGCGCCAATGAGGTGATGAAGTGCTTCGCCGACAAAAAAAAACCAACGCGTGATGATAGCGACGCGCTGCAGTTGGAAGTTGAGGTAACCAAGTTTGGACCTGGTGCTAGCAGAGTGCGAAAGACTGCGGCGGGAAAGATAATATCAAGCCGGATGAGCCGCGGACTGTGTACAATTCTATAGGACGGAGGCAAACAGCGGCGATTACGCCCACCAGCAGTACTTGGATATGGTGGGCATTCAGGAAATTAGGTACATGTATGGGTTATGTTTTCCAGGCGCTCGACACAAGAGATCTAATTGTTAGGACTTTTTTTAGACACCACCCACTACCACAGCACCCCACCAAGAATGATAGAGTTTCCTTCACGAATGGACGGTAGATAACGCGCAAAAACATAAAGCCACTAGGTGATGGGGACCGAGATTGGAACATCAAAACTGCCCCGTTTACACACAAGATTCCCGTCAGTTTTGGTTCCATGTCTCACTCGCACAACACTGAACCGTGAGCCTCGCTCTCTTTTTGATTCCTCCGGATGCGTGCGCTTGCCCAATCCACAAAACCCCTGTGACCGAGTCGGGCATATGCATCAGCAAGTTTTTGCCTCCGGGTCGGGTCGCCCACAGCCCATATGGAGATCCAAGATATCAGGTATGTGGTGCCAGCCACGACGCCAGTTGTGATAATAAACCACATCTTCTGACTCGAACTCTGGAAGTCGAATATTTGCAGTGCAAAAAGGGCCTTGAATCGTGACCTGTGAGCGGCACGAAAACACCATCTGCGAGGCAAAAATAAAATAAAATCATGAGTTGGGATCACGTACCGCGATAAAACTCAGGGGTTGGTAAAAGATGGTGACCATGGTGAATACCAGAATGTAATGGTTTAGCTGCGTGGATTTCGTCGCCTCGCTGACCGCTGTCGCGTTGAACACCTGGATCCCGGGCGGGTTAGCGCAGCCTTTCCTGTTAGCGCTAGGTTCTCGTGACCTCTTACACCGTCTCTGAGACTCTTAGTTTCCTGTTCGATCTTGGCGACACGGGCTAGGAGGGCGTTCCCGAGCCGCTGTTGCTCCAGTATCACGCCGTTCCAGTTTTTCCTAAACATGTTGGCGGCCGCTTCATGCATGGCCACATTGCTGGCGGCCGCTCCCACGTCCCCATCGGCAGTGGGCGTTCCTGGAAGGAAGTTGGCGGCTTGGGCATCGGCTGGCGAGGCGAAGTAAAGCTGCTCCATGTCGTCAACCATCCGTTGGAGGTCATCCATGCTCTCTTGTATCCACTCTGCGCTGATGCGGAGGATCTGAATGACGGTGAAATAAAACTCTGATAAGGCAAGATCAGCAGTATCAACCATACTCTCCCGCCGATGTTTCGGGGACAGAAGCCTGCTGAACTAGAATGTTTTCAGAAAATATCCATAAAAGCCGGTGAAATCGTGTGTAGAAGGGCGCAGGGGACATCACCTACGTTGGCGGTAAGTTGTTTTTGAATGTTGTCCACCAAGCCCGACCAATGGCCCGCCCATTGGGGAAGAAGCGATTGAATCCTGAACGCGAAGGCGGCAATCCCCGTTGCACGCATTGACGGACAGATACCGACGGCTGCCCACTTGTTCCTCTCCCATAGCTCTCCACAGTTTTGCAGGCTGCCAGCAGCAGCATCAACCATCGTGACCAGGGAAAAGACTGGGAATTCAAAGTCCCAGGTAGTTTTCAGCCCGATTGAGTATCGAATCTCGCGTATGTAGATGCTGGGTGCGGCCTTGTCAACTGCTAAGGTGCCCTGCTCCCGTTTCATAAATTTCAGGTCAAGCACTCCCGCCGATGGGAGCTGCGGAGTCGCGAAGGCGCGCATGTGATATTGGAAGACAATGTCTTCCTGGGTCAGCTTGCCCGAACCCGGTCTTTCTGTCCATCGATACTCCGAGGTTCCCCTCTGGTCCCGGCTTGTTCCCCATTCGCCCCTGAATTGTGTCAAGAAGCGGTTGACCGACCGTTGTCTTCCTGAGCCCAAAGACTTGTATCCGCCGCTCTCGTCCAAATCTGCATTTCGGCACAACTGGGCGGCGGCGATGGAGAACAGCACGTGGTCCGACTTTCCGTTCAGTCCGAATTTCCTGGCGGTCATAAACGTGTGAGTTGGCGTTTCTGCATAGCCATGATGTCCTGATCAAGGCACCTCACCATTCTCTCCCGAACCGTTGCCCTAAGGGATCTCGCTTTGTCGACTGCAGCGAATGAGTGAGATAATCGGATATCAACGTGGATTTACAGCTCACCATGTGCTCGTCGATCACCCTATAGACGGGACGAGAAACTGCTGCAGCGGCAGTCAAATCCCCCTGTCTGAGTCTGGACACATAGCCGTCCTCATCGTAGCCAAGCTCATAATACTCGACGTATGCACCACTGAGCTTCTGGGGTAAAGGAACGTGCCACGAAAGAATCTTGACCAGGTCTTCGTTGGGACGATCGTCAAACCTTTCCACCTGTAGGCTTTCTGCAGGGAAAGGTTCGAAGGTCCTGTCCCGTTCCTGTGGCGACCAAGCTTTTGGTGTCGGGCGCTGCTCAAGCTGGTAGTTGATTGTCTTACCGCTGTCGAAATGCGCCTTGCTCGGGCGAATGTCATCCCCATGTTGATCTATTTTTCGTCGCACCAGAAGGGCCTCGGTGGGAATCTGAATGGAGTTTTGCTTGGCCATCGCCATCATCAAGGCATGGATCGCTGCAAGGTACTTCTCGCTGGCCGCGTCACCGTTCCCCTGCGGGCGCTGGTCGCCTGGCTCTTCTAGTGGCAGGTCCCAAAGAGAGACCGCCATGTCGGCCTCGCCGTTGGTCATCTCGGTCGCGATATGGGGGAGGAAAAGGATGGGGAAAGGTTGGATACAGCAAGGGCACAAACCAAGAAACTCCCCGGGTTTGGATACAGGACCTATTTAATAAAGTTGTTCAAGGCCTCGAGACATTGCTTTTTCTTTTTCTTTTTCTCCAGAGCTGAGACCCAAAGCCCAAATCCTGCCCAATGCCTGGCCGCATGGGAGGTGATTGGACCTGAAAGGCACAGTGTGTCCAACGTCGGGTCAAGGACCCGCAACCCCCAAAAGTTAGAGCGTCTTCAACCATTGGTTTTTCTGATCACGTAGTTGTGAGGAACAGGACCTGTGCTTTTGGGTGTTCATACAGGCGACTCATATATCTCGGTCTGCTAGCTGTTTGCAACGCACCAATCCATCGGGATTAGACGAGTCCAATCCAGTTCCGAGCGAAGGGCCTCTTTGGCATCCATCATTGCCGCTTCATCTGGTCGGGACACCTCAACGCCTATGTTTTTGACTAAATAATTTCTTCAGTTCACTGTTTCCCACCGCTCCGCCAGCCCTGTCAAGAACATGGCCGGGCTACAGCGCCTCGACGAGCCCGTCCTGTTCAACTCACTGGACGACAATGCCGGCCTGAGACTCCTCCCCTTGTCGTCGCATTCCCCAAACTACCAATGACAAGAAACCACCCCACCGAGCTGCTCGAGATATGCCAGTCACCTCCATTATCTAGCGTCCACCGAAGGAAGGCATCGACCAGGTCAGGACTAAGTAGGGCTATGCGCCAACCCCATTTAGCCACAGACGGAGGTGGATGAGACGGTCCAAGTCCGTCGAGCCGTCCGTCTGCGCGCCCTGTTCTCCGGTGTTCGCCATATCTCAGAGGATAGCATCGATGTAAGAGCCTGCTGCAGATAGGTGGAGGATATGTGCAATAGCACGGTGGATGGCTAGAAGCCGGGGCGATGGCGGATCAATGGTACTGGTATCCGTTGAGAAGAGCGTGCGAGTTACTGGAAAACGCCTCCCTACGAGAGCAGGCCGGAGGAATGATTCGATCCGATAGGTGTGAGGCGCCGTATCTGGGATAGGCACGAAATATATATCGAAGCTGCCGAACAAGTCGTGCATATCCCGGGTGAGAGTCAAGGCGTTGCGTGGTCGATCAATATCGACGCCTTCGATTAAACGACCGACCCCATGGTCGAACATGTTAAGGATAGTCAATGCTGCCTGCTTCAATGGATTCTAGAAATAAGGGAGTTAGTTAGATTAGAAGACGGCTGTTTATGAAGAATCGGGACTAAGTACAAGTTCTTCGCCACGCCCGAGCTTTGTTAACGAGTGCGGTAGAATATGGGCAACTTCCAACGCCTCAAACTGCTCCTGGTCGAGTAGGTTGCCGTCATCATCTTCAGCGTTATCGTCGGCATTCTCAAAACGTTTTATTGCTTCATTACGGTCAAATCTCCGTGTTACAACACAACGATGGTGGTCGCGGATAAGGCAGGCCCCACGTAGGGCCGATAGTCTTTCTGGAGTACCTATAAAGCCTGCCTCTGACTGTAATCTTGAAATGGCAGAATGGTACGCTGGCGAGAGTTGAGGGGTCTTTGTAGCGGAGGCTTTAACTAGTAAGAGTTAGCGAGGGGTATATGGTGGTGGCGAGACATAACAGGACAACACAACACCACGTACGGGGTAGAAAGAAGTTGTTGAACACTGTTCAACAATGAACAGGTAATCTGCGAAGCCGAAAAACTTGTCTTGAATTTGCTCGTCCAAGGCTTCGTTGCCGTCCATAGATAGTTCGAGAGAGGTAAAGAAGGCTCGGAGATAATTATCCTGTGAGAGCGGCGAACAAACATGGTCGTATGTGAGGCGGATCAGCTGGGCCCGGTTGTAGCGGGGGCTGACCCCGCCGCCTCGTGCCGCGATGTTCCCGGTGAGAACACGGGCTTGATCATCGAAATGATGGGCGATATGGTAGAATCTGTGCCTGGCACGATCGCGTGCGTCTGGGTCTAAAGGCGCCTCACTTTGGAAATCAATGATGCCCTCGAGCGAAAATTGCTGCCTATAATGAGGTGACAATGGTGACGGCAGCGCAATAGCGTCGATGATCTATTGTGGTTGACTGCCCAGTTCAGAAGAATCCGAGGGACCGAGAACGGTGGCAACTTGCCTTGGCTGCTGTGGTGGAGCCCGTGGGAGGCCTGGTTCACGTAACTCGAGTGACTGGAGTGACTCGAATGTTAGGTGACGTCGAGGTTCGGACCCGTTACAACCATACACGGTAGGTAGCGCAGCCACAATAACTTATGGGGGTTCCTTTGAGAGCCACTGTCCGCTTTTGCATCTAAGATCAGAACCCCTATCCCTATCTCCCAACCCACACAGGCCACCACGCACCATGTATGTCTGAGACTCTGAGTCTGACAACAACACTAACATAAGGTGCCTGACCCAGCAGCCCGATAGCGGCAAAATGTGAGTGTTAGGAACAGGACCTGTGCTTTTGGTGGGCGTCCATACAGGCGCCTCATGCATATCTCGTCTGCTAGCTATTTGTAACGTCAGGTACCAATTCCACCATGATTGGACGAGTCCAGTCACAAGCCGGGCCTCTTCGGCACATATCCATCATTGCCGCTTCATCTGGTGGAGAGACCCCAACGCCTTTTGTATAGGTTGCACACTTGCATGGCTGAAAGGACATGTTGACAATAACCACCCACGGTCAAGCGCATCGCTCGACATTTAACCTTCTTTGCCGTAGTTCTGGTCGCGCTTTGGTGATAGACGGGGGGTTTGAACACTCCGCCAGCCTCGGTACTATTAAACCCACATCCTGATTCCACTACATGATTCAAACCAGAGTTTCATCATGTACAAGACCATACATCCCATGCCGCGCCGCTTCCACCGATGGCGGCCCGGTCGAGTTTAGCATAGTTCCGCTGAGCCGCCATGTTCGGTTTCATCCATCGCCTCTTGTTTGGGCGAGACAATTCCTTTGTGTCCACCTTAGTGTCCACATTTTTCAACTCCTCCAGGAATCTATGGCCCCGTCCCAACTAAAACTCTCAAAAATAGCATTTACACTTTTCCTCTCCTTACGGAATGCATTTGTAAGTTGCGCACAGGTTGTGGAGTTTGAGGCCATCACGGCGGCTCGTAACAAGGTCTGAAACTAGCGAAGTAGTTAGGAAGAAGGTCGGTTGCCAACGACCTTGTGGAAGTTCCCTAAAAAAGCCAAAATGTTTATCGTACAAGCAATATAAATACCCCTACCAACCTAGACTTGCTGCTCTCTTTTTTATCCATCACCTTCACTCAGCATTCCACACAGGACATCAACTGCCACACCTTTTCGACGAGCCGGACTCGTTTACTCTCCCTCCAACCTATTCCAACCCACCAGTACGTTCCCAAGACACTATACGCAAGCACCGTGTTCTCGCTAACACTCTCCTGCCACTATCCAGCCTCGATAACCCATCCCAACCAAAACTTCGCCATGTGCAAAACTATTAGCTACAAGAGGAGCCGGTGCGTCTCGTGCAAAAGGGATATCGTCAAGAAGGACAAACAAGAGATCTGCGACAAGGCCGGTGGTAAATACGGCAAGTGTGGCACCACCACCAAAGTCACCATGGCCGCCCCGTGCCCCAGTCCCAAGTGCGTCCAAATCAAATAATGCGAGCGCTGGCCAGCAGTAGCATGGACGGGAGATGTGATGGTTTCCATAGAATGGTAGCAGAGGTTTCAGGGGGCAGGGGTGGGAATTGATAGAAAAGTAGGAAAATAAGAGCCCAGCCCTGGTGGCAGGTTACTCAGACTGCGTGCAAGTCAATACTCTCCTCAATTGACTCATGGTCGGCTGTGATTGACAAGTAGAGCGGTGTTTGTGTAAGGGTCTTATTAGCTGCAGTGAAGGATTCTCACGAAAAGTACCTTGCAGGATATGACCCCAGAGTCTGACCTCGCGTGTTCCCCGACGCAACCCAACATACCATCTCGGGAATAGGCTGGGTGATCACTTCCGACGGAGTATCATTTATATAACAGCATCCTAGAGCTGATGGGGGCTGCTTTGACCAACGACCTTTTCCGTCCATCACTCTCAGCTCAACCGCCATCCTCCTTTTACATCCAAGACCACAAACGGACCATCTCGTCATCGCCATCCCGCAACCTACCACCCACCATGACCGACACCAACACCAACACCGCCCCTGACACCCAAGCGGCTGAATCCCCTTTTGGCCCCCCCATCCGTTACATCACCACCCATGACCCCGCCACCGGCAAATCCGTCTTCACCACCGCCCTCCCCACCGAGGTCCCCGGATTCAGCATGCCCGGCCTGGCCATATTCGACGCCTATAAAACCCTCACCAGCCCGGTCAGCCTCAACGACGAAGCCGACCTAGCCGCCCTCCAACCCCAACCCCCGTCCACCTCATCATCTCACCCACCTCCCCCAAACACCACCACCACCGCCACCCCCTCCTCACTCCCCAACCCCAACAACACCACCACCACCCCCACTGAACCCGCCATCTGGTTCCCCACATCCCACCCACACACCCAAACCCTCCTCCGCTACTGCGACTTCCCCCCCGGCGCCTCCTCCCCTTTGCACCGCACCGAGACCCTCGACATGGGCGTGGTGGTGGCCGGGCAGGCGGAAGTGCGACTGGATTCGGGGGAGGCAAGGACGCTGCGGGTGGGGGATAGCATTATCCAGAGGGGGACCATGCATGCGTGGCGGAATGTGAGTGAACGCGAGTGGGTAAGGTTGGTGGTGTTTTTGGTGGGGGTGGACGAGGTGAGGGTGGGGGGGTGAAGGTTGGGGGGGCGATGGGGTAGGTTATGTTGGATTCGGTTGGGTTGGGGGTTGTTTGTGGGCTAGGTTGAGTAGGTATCTAGGGTTGGAGGTTGTTTGCATGCGTGGGTTGAGTCACTCTAAAGGGGGCAAGGGGGAGGGGAAGGAAAGGTGCAGGTGGGCAATGGAATCAACTGTCTGGGAGATGGATTTAGGGGTTGAGTACGGTAGCAAGGGTGACAGCACAATACCGAAAAGGCGAGCACAAAAGGGATGAACACCAGCCGTGAGAATATGAACTCGGGTTCCTTCCCCGTCTATCTATCTACTTGAAGCCCCCTGCTTCGTCTATGCGTGTGCCCCTGAGATGCTTGGTATCTTGACAATTAAAAGAAATCCTATCCAATATTATGCAATGTACCACCAGGACCGTTTTCTCCCCTACTTGCGCTTAAACAACCCCTTGACCGAAGCAACAGTCTTGTTGACAACGTTGAAAAGGGGCCCGAAGCCAAAAGACATGCCCTTAATGCGGACGGTGTAGATAAAAAAATAAACAAGCCTATGTCTACTGTCAGTGTCTTGCTCCGGAGCTGTCTTCATCAGGAGCAAACTTACATCCAGTTGGTCACGCAGAACACCAGGAAGATGCCAAAGTTGCGCCACTTGGTGTCGGGCGAGATGCCAAGCGTCTCCAGGTACTCAGACCCGTCGACATAGGGGCAATAGCCACAGTTTGCCGTGTCCTCGGGGTTCATCAGGTATCCACGCCCCGCCTCGCGCACGAAGTTGCTGGCGAACTCGAGGCAGGTCTGGCCCGAGGGAGGGTTGAAATAGGCCGCCTCCTGGGGAGCGCAGGTAACGGACCGGGCGGCCAGTGTGGCGGACAGGACACCAGAGACCCAGTACGAGCTGGGGTTGAGCCAGTAGAGCTGGGAGACGTTAGTGATGCGTTCACCTCGAAAACCAAAACATCAGGGGACATACCCAGTACTTCCAGAACACGTTCAACTGGGTGTAGGGCACCACGACACCGTTGAACAAACAGAAGATAACCAAGAAACACGGCAGGATGTTGCTGATGACAGTGAAGCTGGGCGCCCAGGCGCAGATCCACTGGCCCCAGCTGGACTGGAACAGGAAGAACAACAACGTCATGAGGAAGACGTAACCGGCCGAGGGTGCGTCGTAGGGCAGGCCCGTGGGCAGGTACCACAGCAACCAGTACAGCACGGCGGCGACGAGCGAGCCGGGGATCTCGGAGAGCACCTCGGCGGTGCAGAAGGCGACCCAGCCGTAGATGCGGGACGGGTGCTCGCGGGCCTCCCACAGGGCGAGGTTGGTGAAGAATTTGGGCAGGACGGCGTTCAGAACCTGTTGTTGTTGTGTTAGTCCTGCTCCGCTTTAAACACAAACAAGGAATGGAATGGACTTACAGTAGCAGGAATCATGATGATCAAGAAGCTCGAGAACATGGCGTTCTGGAGGTCCGAGGCAGTGTTTCCAAGCTTCCAGAAGGTGAAGCCGTTGAAGATGCCGATGACAACAGCGGTGAACAGGCGGCCGTAGATGTAGGACGGGTCGCGCCATTGGCGGACAAACATGCGCTTGGTGACGAGCATGATCTGGGTCATGACAGGGGCGGCGAACTCGTGGAGCGCATCGGCGGCCGCCTCAGCGGATTGGGCGTTGACGTTGGCGGCGATGGCCTTGGTGCGTTCGGCCTTGAGCTCCTGGATCTCGGCCAGCACCGCTTTGTTCTCGGGCGACGCGCGCCACTCGTCGGTCCAGTTGATGCGCGTGCCATCGGGACGGCGGCCACCCTTGATGGCGGTCTCGAGTAGGAACTCGGCGACGTTGCGGCCGGGAGGGCAAACCACGCCGCGGTCGGCAAAGTACTTGACCACGGCGCTGCCGTCCTGGCCAACGGGACCAAAGTAGATGGTGTTGCCGCCAGGGTTGAGGGCGAGGATCTTGTCGAACTCTTGAATCAGGTCGGACGAGGGCTGGTGGATGGTGCAGATGATGGCTTGGCCGGCAGCGCACAGCTTGCGGAGGAAACGGACGATGGAGAAGGCGGACTGGGCGTCGAGACCACTGGTGGGTTCGTCAAGGAATAGAAGCAGAGCGGGCCTGGCAGCCAATTCGACACCAATCGTGAGACGCTTTTTGTGCTCCACACCGAGCGAGCTGATGATGGCATCCTGGATCTCGTGGAGCTCCAGCAAGTCGAGGACCTTGTCGACGTAATCCAGCTTCTCCTGGCGCGGGATGTCGCGACTCTGGCGGAGCAGGGCCGAGAACTCGATGGCCTCCCGAACAGTGGCGCTCTCCTCATGCAGGTCCATCTGCTCAACAAAACCAGTGCTACGCTGAAAGTCGTTGCCTAGGGGCTTGCCGTCGACGAGCATATCACCGCTAACCACACCGACGGTCTGGCGCTGCGACAGAGTGTTGAGCAGAGTGGTCTTGCCGGCGCCACTGGCTCCCATGAGGGCAACCATGACTCCGGGCTTAGCATAACCGTTGACGCCGTTGAGCAGACGCTTAGGGCCGGCGGCGGTGGGTACCGTGTATATCACGTCCTCCCAGGTGAAGACCCGGTCGCTTCCCGTAAGGCCCTTGAAGGCACTCTCGTCGGCGCTGGACGGAACTTCAGTGGAGGAGGAACTCCCGGAGACGTTGCCGCTCTCTTCGTCGGCGGTGGTCGGCTTGATCTGCTTGGCAGTCCGCTTGGACCCTTTGAAGACGAGCGCGCCACCCCCTGAGCCACCAAACGACATGAACTCGGTGGTTGCAACGGTGACAATGAGGTACAGAACCGCGAAGGCGATGACGACGCCGAAGTTGCGCCAGAGGTTAGCCCGAGTGTAGCCAAACTGGACCCCGACGTAGTTGTCTCCCAGCACGTTAGTAGTTCCGGCATCCGCTCCGGGGACCGCGCAACCTTGGTTCTCAGGGAGAATGCCAGGCCCTTGCGGCACCAGGTTGGCAGGAGCACATTCCATCAGGCGGCCGTGGAACTCGCTGGACATGACTGCCTCGAACGAGTAACTAAGCTATGTGGGAGTTAGCTCAGACTTGTCCATAAGAAGATGCGATTCTCAGAAGTACTTACCGGGTTGATGTGTGCAATCCAGCCGAACCAGATCTTCTGCGATAGCAAGACAGGCTTGGAGATGACGTAGCCAGTGTAGATGACGAGCAGGTTCAGGGCCATACCGGAGAAGCGCACAGCATCGTCCATGGACGGCGACATGGATGCTAACATACGGTACATGGCCGTGATGCAGAAGGTGGTCGTGTACATGAACAAAAGCTGGATGAAGAACTTCCCGGGGTCCAGGTCGAGGCCAGTCATGAAGAACAGGAGGATACCAAAGATGATTACCTGCAGGACGAGGACGGGCAGATCCACGAGAGCGCGGGCGAGGGTAACGGCGCTGGGCCGGTAGAAGGCGTATTCCTTGTGACGAGCGACGATGGCGCGGCCGGAGACGGCCTTCATGAGCTCAGCAAGCTGCAGCCAGCCGAGGAAGACGATGGCGAAGAAGACGGCACCACCGCGGGCGAAGCTGCCGATGGTGGAGGCGGGCGAGTTGTAGAAGAGAGAACCGACGATGAGACCGTTGCTGATGATGGTGAAGTACTTGGAGTAGAGCTCCGTCTTGTTGCCCCAAATGAGCCAGACCTCACGACGGGCGCAGGCCAGCACTTGCTTCCAGAAGGGGATGGTGTAGTTGGACCCCGGCATCACGCGCTTGGACTTTTGCTCCTTCACGGTGTCCTTGAACGCCTGCATGTCGGCGTGGCCCGTCTTCTCTAGGTGTTGCTCGAAGTCCCTGACGTCAGCAAGGAGCTTCTGGTAAGCTGTGCTCTCCCGGAAGGCCTTCTCGAGTTCTTCGGCCGTCTTGGGGCAGCGGGCTTCCCACCCATCGCGGAATTGCCTCGAGTTCACATCGCAGATGGAGGTGAGGAAGTCGGGAGTTGTCTGTCGCGGCGGGGCGTAGAAACCGAGGTCCTCGAAGTACTTACGCGCCTCCTTGGCGGGACCCTGGTAGAGCATGCGGCCCTGGTCGATGACCATGACCTTGTCCATCAACTCGTAGATGCCCTCGCCGGCCTGGTACAGCGTGGTGAGGGTGGTTCGGTCCGAGACATCAGTCATGATGCGCAACGACTTGGCGTAGTCGAGCGCGGTCGATGCGTCGAGACCCCTCGTGGAGTTGTCCCAACAGACGATGGTGCTCTTGGTGGCGAGGGTCTCGGCAATACTGACACGTTTCCTCTCACCTCCAGAGACACCACGGACATAGGCGTTTCCGACGATGGTGTTCTCGGTGTGCTTGATGGCGAACATGCGCAACAGCGCATCGATGATGGTTCCGACATCACCCCGCAGGTTCTTCCTCGTCTTGTTGAGAAGCGAAAACCGGAGGGTCTGGCCGACGGTCAAGCTGGGCAGGTGCTGGTCATCTTCGGCGTTGTAGACCACCTCACCACGGTACCGCTTGCGGGCCTCGTCGGCGGGGATGCCGCTGTACGACACGTCGCCCTCAAC